TGATCACCCCGAAATCTCCACAAAACGAAATGTGTTGCTTCATTGATTTAATTTGGATTATATGTTGTTTTTGAGGGTTTTACGGTAGGAAAAAACCTTAAGTCAGCGATAGTATGTCAAAAAATTAAATATACCTTACATTACCGTAATTACGGTATTATACACATAGCATAGTCGCGTCTGACCCTGTCGGTAATTGTAGAACAAAAAATGTTTTTGTGATTTGCAATGCCTAAAAATCATATTTTATCTTTCACGGGTCATCCTAAAATAAAAATTAAATGGTGTTTCTGTTTTATTTTTAGTATTTTATAATGCCGCTTTTAAATCAAGAAAATTGGGGCCATGTATTTACTCCTTATTTATCTTAGCCTGTTGTCACACATGATTATATATAAAAATAAAAAAAATTGGGTCACACATTCACTCCTTTATGTAGCTTAGCATCTGGTCACACATGATTATGTGATAACTCGTATTTCACAACACAAGTGCCATGGCTGCTTGAGAGCAATAAAGTAATTATCGTTGTCTTCGCTGCAAATTTGTGACTTAGGGAAAATAAATTCTGAAATGAAAAATGTTTACGGCTCAAATAGGACATCACGATTGACGGTTTTCACAAATTGCAATCCCACGTGTATCGGTACGACACAAATACGGCAACTTCAAATATGATAATCACAGCATTGAAATCCCAGATTCACAGCGCGAGAATGTCGATTTATTTAAACTAACCTGATGAGGACATGGGAAATGCTATCGCCGAAGGTATTTTATTGTCCGGATTCAATAATAAGGCGACACAAAAAAAAAAATGAAAATGATCATACCCCCCCGCCCCCCCAAAAAAATAAAAATCAGGCCAAAAATTTGGGTATATAGCTGAGTGTTGATTGCACGACGCCGCGGGTGCGCTATCGAAAACTGCAAGCGACACGTCTTGGCGTCTGTTTTACCTCAAATTTTTGCAGTTTTTCTCATAGAGTTAACGTCCTACAAACGACCGAATGATAACTGGCGTTTCAAAAAATTCCGTCCACTTGAATGTTGCAAGTATACAGTTGAAGTTTTAGATTTTCATATTGAAAACGAAAGATCTGTCAAAATTGTGACTTGGGTTCAGAAAGTCTTTGTTCATTTAAATTTAGGCCTGAGGGTATGGCTAAATTCGATTCAGCTCTCAAACTTCCGCGAGAAAGTCTTCTCACGTCGGACACGGGCATGCGCTATGATCTGTCACCTACCTATATGAGAATTACGTAGGCTAAAGTGTAAATAGTGTAAACGTCTAAAAAGCCAACTTTCGCATATCTTCACTCTGAATAATTTGAATGGCTAAACCACCCACTTCGTTTTTCGCAACGCTGGCTTTGTTTGTAAAAAATAAACCCTCTTTCGCGTCATTTAATGCGATATCCGTTAACACAGATGGTATGTGCCAATTTCTGATTCTTATGAGCCTACTGAGTTGTTATGCATGTACCACGGATAGCCTTTTGAGAATGTACCGGTACCTTTTTGAGCGAGTCGATGGCGATTTAGTAAAGCCAATGCGTTCGCATAGTCGTTGCGTACACTCGTGCTAAATTCTTCAATCGTGCGTCACGCGGTCATCACGCACAGACTTGCGCATGACGGGAACCGGCATTTGGTCACGTCTCGTGAGCAGGGCGGTGATTTTAAATCCGCGTTTTATAATTTGAGAAATATCTTTAAGTAGTAGTTATGGGGTGTGGCCGTTAAAAAAGTATTGCCTTTAAAAAGGGTATCGATAGTTTGGATAATATTGTGATTGTGATAGCCAATTCGTATGTAGCTTCCACGTGCACCGCGTGGCAGAGAGATCGCTTCGAGTAGAGCAGTTGCCTGTGATTACGCGCGACAGAGATCTGCACGTGTGGAAGCAAACTTGTGAACTTCCGGTCACGATAACTCACCGGCCACAACTTTATAACGTCGGAAGGAGAAAGTCAGCTCGATCAGTTTGGTAAAGGCATAATCATATTTTCTTTATGACGTAACACATTATTGTTTATTCAATTGCTATGGGCGGTGTTATTTGAATAAATAAATGGCTGGATCCTTCAATGAAAAAAAGGAGTGGCAAAGTTTGCCCGTTGTTTCTTTACTCGACGAAGTGTGCTAAAGTTTAATAGGCCTATATACAGATACTTTATCCACGTGACCGCCAGGTGGGTAGAAAGTTACTCATTGTAAGATTTTTTTTGCTATTGCAGTATTGCTTTGATTTCCTTTGGGTTATGTCAGTATGTTGACTACAGGGCTAATTTAACGTTAACTTATACAGTAACTTAATAGATTAAGGTACCAGGCTATATGTTGATGTTCAGATGTTAGGATTAGAAATATGTAATTCAAGACCTAAGCTAATAAATTTAGGTAGACTAATATCTGAATATAATTATGCTGTTTCAATATTCAGATATTACTATATTTTTTACTGATTTAAAATTCGATAGTTTCTGCAAATAAGATTTGCAAGTCACCACTGACTGACTTATGTGAAAAGTTTGATTCAATGTTTGTTCATATTATTTTTTCATCCTCTGTTATGCGGATTATAGTCAAAATAAAGTTATACTTATTATTGTACAATATTCTGATATAAGTCTGCCTAATTATATAATTTATTCAGTTTTTATCAAATATTTCATTACACTTTATGTTTATTGATAGGGAGTACTGGAGTAAAGTTAAAAATAAACTTCTGAACTTGTAAAATAAATTTACTCAGGGAGTACAATACCAATATATATATGCTGATAGTTTTTGTTATGAACTTGAATTGGATTGTACTATTCCAGTATTTGTAACTTGAAAATAAAAGTCACTATTACAGTGTTGTTTCAGTATTCAGTTATTATGTCTAGAATGTAGTATTGGTAATAGGTCAGTAGGTACAGTACTTAATATGATATTTGATAGCCATTGTTGTCTAAATCTTACAATAGAGATGTCTTAGACGGGGATACTGTTATTTTAACGTCTGAGCGTTAAAATTTCAATTGTACTCTGTTTTTGTCTGGTCTACTGGTTTATATGAGTTTCCAAAGACTATCAAAAGATATTTCAAATTTTAGGATTTTTTTAGAACATTATTTAGCAATAGAAGAATTTGCCTATTTGGTTATGAAAGCAAATCTTATGTTTGAATTTGGAAGATAGCTATATAATTTGGAACCAAGAATATTTACAATTTACAAGGCAAAACTGCATGGATATAAATGTCTTTAGCACAGGGATGGCTAAAACCAAGTATTTTACTATTCTGAATACACTGTGGAAAAATATTTTCGAATATGAAATATTGAATACATTCTAAATTGGTGGCAAGTTTCATGTGAAAAATTACATAAAATCACTATATTTTTATGTGATCACAACTAAAACAACATGTTAGTATAAAAGGTCATTGTTTTCACTGTGTTTTTTCTTACTGGTTAAAATATCGTCTGTTTTGATGAAGTTGTCTGACGGCTCGAAATTCTCAAATTCTAAAATAAAAATGTTCTAAATTATTCTTAAATTGAGAAAATTTTATAATAAATATGATGAATTCCGAATGCATTCGAATATTCAATTTGTTTCAGACATCCCTGTTCTAGCAAATTAGCAAATATTTAACATAATAACGTATATATTCTTCTACTTCTAGTCTGTCCATCTACTCTCAAATATTCATAACATTTGTGAAGCATAATTATCAACAGTTAGTTTTCTTATATCACGATTATTCACACTTTTTGCTCTGAACAAGGCTCTGTCAGTTTGTACAAAAATGACAAATTATGATGTTTCACTCTTCTGTTGACTCAAAGAATTCACACCTATACAAATACAACAATGAGCCTTTGTATGCTTCAATCCAGTGTTAAATAGAAGTTCCCAAACGTCAAGTCTTGATTTGAGTCAAGTGCGATCAATTCCATTTATATGACTTGACTCTGAGGTCACTTTTAATAAATGGCGACCTGACTGCAAGTTAACTAAGTCAATGATTGAGCCTGCCCACAACGCTATCACCCACTAGCATTATTGAGAATAAAGATAAATTTTTAAAATCAGTTTAGCGCAATTTATTATGGTATATGTTGAAAAAGTAGAAAGTAATTTGAGATTGGGTTTTTATGAATCATTCAACATATACAGAAGGCATTACAAGCGGAGATTGAATTTTCACTTTTATCATATTCTGAAATATCTGTTGTATTGACCTTTCAAGTTTGTTGGTAATTCCACTATAGTGTTTCATCTCAATGCACTCAAGCCTTGAAACGTTTTATTATCTATTATATATGAATTTTGTAATTAACCAGTATTTCTGTTTGGCCACAACATGTTATAATTCGTTTTATATCAAGATTATTCTATTGATTAAATATTGTATAAGACAATAGTTTCCGATTGCGTGCTGCTGTTAACACAGGAAACTTGTGATGCAGCTTCATGTACAATTGATCGTTGAATTTATCTTCGCAGAAGATGAACAGATTTTCATATTTCAAAAATAGAAATTAATTCCCCATGCAGTGAATTTAATAACATCAATTCAGTTAGAATATGTATATATGAAGCAGATTGATCAGCACTAATGTAAAACGTCTACTTACGGTTTAATCATATTTTGACTCTTGTCCGTTTACCAGTCTGTGTTGGATGTGGGAATAGTAAACCAGTTATTTGTTTCAAATGCACAGACCAGTGATTATGTGAAGCATCTTAGGACAGAAAGGAGTACAGCAATCTTCTCGCACATAACTATCTCCCACAGGATTCAAACCTGCAAACCCGTGCAGATAATCAGAGTTGTCACACGACACGACAAGCATATTTCTAGCGCTTGGCACGATATACCTATTTCCAAGCTGAGTATGATTACAAACAATTAACAATTTTTAGCAGTGTTTTGGAATTCTAGGTTTAGAAACTATTTATTACTCAATATGCTGAATTGAATATTTTTTTTTCATCTTCAGGTTGTAAATATCTCTAGCCACACTCTTGTAAGTTGTAACATAATATAATCTGTGTAATTCACAATTCTTCATTCCGAATTATAACAACAATATGGGACTGTCCTGGGTGAATCAACTTATTCGGTCATACAATGAGACCATGGAGCTTGCAGGTATTTTTCAATCTCATTTTGTATAGAATAAAAGAAATAAAGGTTTATTTCAAGACATGTTCAGAATTATCATATTTTGGATTGGAATTTGAATTTTGAAGTGTTTGAAATAAATTCAGGAGCCCATGTTGCCACATGATTTCGCCCTTATTTTTTCTCCGCCGCTTTTTCAAATTAAATTTGAAAATTCTATGAATAATAGCCTGATCCCCACCAGTTACATATATATGAATATGATAAGTAAGCGTCTCAAAAAAATCTCTCACCATTTTCGATAATACGACAAGTTTTATTCGCAGGGACAAAGTTTTGTTTTGTATGTGTGTTTATTTTAAATTTTTTGAATGCAGCAATATAGACCGTGTAACTCGATCAAAATCACTTGTTCATGCCTTTCGCACTGAACAAGGACTTGTATAAGCAGCCACTGATATGTGACGACCTATTATTTTTGGAAGGATTCTTTCTGGTTCAGCAGTATAGTACACCCTGAGTGTGGTGGGCATGGGGTTTGAACCTAAAATGTTTAACCTGTGAATGTGACCATCGCATTTTAATAAATCTAACAAATTGTAATGTTATAAAATATTATTTTGCATTCAAATTTTGTGATTTTTCCTACATTTTTCACCACTGGTTATATCTTTTGTTGCAGATCCGAGGGCATTGAAATATCCGCTCATGAATTCTGTTGTTCCAAATATGGTTTCGACTATCATCTACCTATGGGTAGTCCTTTATGCTGGTCCTAAGTACATGAAGAAACGTCAACCTCTTCAGCTCAGACCTGTCATTGCTCTTTACAATCTATGCATGGTTATATTTGCACTCTTCTTGTTTTACGAGGTTTGTAATTTATCAGGTTTACTAGCATTGAATAAGTTAGAATGATATTTTAATCCACAAGAAAGTAGACAATTTTTCAATGAGGATCATCCAGGTCTCCGAATAACTCAAAATTGATATAAATGTTGGAGGAGACCTGGAAATATTCTGAATCTGTTTTTTCCTGAATTGAATTACAAGGATAAAGTTCAAGAATTTAATTTTTCAAGTTACCGGGTTAATTGAAATTGTTGTATTTGTATACTTATCTGTGTATTCAATTTACCCGACCTAATTTAAAAGAAATTCAAAATTTGAAAATATTATTTTAAAATGTATTCGAAAATCAGAATAGTAAATTACTCGATTTTGGCGATCACTGTTACAGACTATAATATGATTATGCCATGGTTTCAATATTATTATAAATTGCACTCATAATAACTTCTAGCGCAGTTTTTCATTTCCTTATTATGCTTCCATATTTGCATGGCATAACAACTTGCCGTTCTAGTGTTAATGTGATATGATCACAAGGACTTTTCATTCTTATAAGACTTCTTACAATTGTGTTCAATCTCTTCAAAGTTACTTGTGCGCATGCGTGACTCAAACTGTTAAATATTTCATAGAACTGAGCTTCATTTTAATTCAAGGTTAAAACAAGTTTTCCTGGGAATGGGATCTAATGTGTTGTTTGTGGTGTAACTTTCTAAAGTAGGATATTACAAATTAATTATTAAAAGGATTTTCCCAAGTACTGACTGGTGTTGAACAGCTTTTATTTATTTGAAATCCTGTCCACTTTTCCCATCCTACTTTCTTATCTGTGTGGTTTAATTGGATCAATATTTCCATTTCAGTATGTTTACTCACAACTTGTTCAAAAATTGGAAAATTAAATTTTAATCAGTCAAGTTGTTTGAATTCACTCAAGTAAGACAATTGTAATGAAATTTAAGTTTGTTTTTTGATTTTTCAGTTCTTGATGTCTGGTTGGGCAACTGGATATTCATTTACTTGCCAAGAATGTGATTATTCAAATTCTCCGCAAGCATTAAGAATGGTCAGAGTCTGTTATCTTTTCTGGCTTTCGAAACATATCGAATTTTTAGATACGGTAAGATGATTGAATTTAAGTTGTTTTCAACAATTCATGGATTATACTTTGATTTAACAGCATATTATTGATTTTAAGAAAAAATACTTATATTTTGTGAAAGGGGTTTGATTAAAATGATAATTGTTTTTAATTAAATTTAGATAATTAGTAACTTTTTCTTCTTGCCTTGAGACAGCTAAACGACTCGATCCGAACTCGACTAACCATTTAAAGAGACTCGACTCAAAGATTCTTTTGAACAATTCTTTAAAATAACAAAAATGTTTCGTTGAAATACATTTAACCACATAGATTAGTTTTGTATTGAAAAATTAAAGATTGAGTCTCAAAATAACATTAGTTTAATGCAAGATGAAAATATTAGCGATGACATGACTTGACTCATATTTATCTATTTCATTATTGTTTATGGAATCTATTATGACTCTGTCTCGAATTGTTTTGACTCTGTGTATACTCACATCTTGAGAAAAATCATTGCAAAATTCATGCAATAAAAATGAACAACTTTTTTCTCTAGGTTTTTTTCATTGCAAGAAAGAAATTCCAACACGTTTCATTCCTTCATGTATTCCATCATAGCATCATGGCATTCACTTGGTGGTTCGGTGTAAAGTTCTCTCCAGGTAAAAGGAGTAATAAATGTTCATACAATCTTTATATTTTTGTGCGATATTCATGAGCCTTTCTCGAACAATTTTTTATTCATGTGATTGATTATACTGAAACACTCAAAATATAGATTTCAATCAAAGATGTCTGCATTTGAATATTTAGATTTATAAAATTGTAAGATATCCTGAATAAATATTTAGTTCAAAGCTATAAGGTATGCCCAATCCATTGGGCATAATTCGTCTTCATTCAGAATTGTCACAAAGTAATTTTTAATTCTGATTATTTGTAACTTTGAGAAAAAATGTTTTTGAAATATACTATTTCCATTCCTACTTTGTTTTAATTTCCCGGGGACAACCAATTTCTGAATTAAGATTCAACGATATGAAAATCATCAAATTCAAAGTTGATTTTTATAAAATTGTGGACACTTGGGCCCACCTAGTAGTGGTAAAATGACATTCCATCCCATGACTACTAGGGCTGGGAATTTCAGGGAAAACACTTTAACTGTTAACTGGGTAAATTTAACCAGTTAACCGGTTAACCGCAACGTGATGTTTGACGTAATAATTTATAATTTTAGCTTGTTACGTCACAATGGTTACAAGCAATTTCAGGTGATCTTATCGCAGTATTGCTCAAAATTATTCACGAATGGAGATAGTTTCATGATCGCTCTGCTGCAAGAGATATGCAGCGTGTGGAAGTATTTTAGTAAAACCCGAATTCGTTATTAAATGTTATTTATGTGACAAATTTTCAGTGTTCGACATGCAAATTCTACTCTGAGATATCATAAAGAAAACAGCATCAACTACGTACTTGTTGAATGACATTGAATATACAATGTTGCAATAAAACTGGGAACAATATATTTCTACCGAAAACCAATTCGGAATTTATCATTGTCAAATTTTCATAATCAGCAATCTTGGTACTTCAATTATTTTTCTCATTTATTGGGTACTTACCAATACAGTTAGTGATATTCTTTTGAATTAAACGCCACAGGAGATAAATTTGCGATGACGTAATCATTTTTGAAAAAAATGTACATTATAAAGAGGATTTGTACCTGAGATGTCAGTTAACGGTTGAAAGAAATCGTAACCGTTAATCATCTAAAATCGGTTAACTGATTAACTGGTTAACCATTCCCAGCCCTAATGACTACTACACATCCATCGACCACAATCTCACCTGTGGTGTAATAGAAGATCCCAATGTAAATATATAGTAGCTCCTTACCTTGTAATGGCTGCTTGCGCACAGACGTGTTCATAGTACGAAGGAAATAATAACCTTGTATGAAAAATATGCTTAATATGTGAATCTTTATTGTTACTGCTGAAAAAAAAACATTTTTACAGGTTCTCAGGACTCACTGTTTTATCTACCTTAACTATCTAAGTTTTATCTAACTTAGTAAAACATGTTTTTGAAAGCTTATCAGATGGTTGGACGACTTACGTTAACGTTATCATTTTGTTCAGGTGGCCTCGGCACATTCCATGGAATGATCAACTCTTTTGTACATCTTGTTATGTACACGTACTATGGTATCGCAGCTCTTGGACCAGCTTATCAAAAATACCTTTGGTGGAAAAAATATCTCACTGTGTTCCAGATGGTGAGATAGAATTGTTCAACTAAGTTCTTGTTAAATTTGGAAATTTGACTTGAGAGAACAGCTGTAGAGTCGGAGAGAATTTACGCTCCGACTCTCGAGTCTTGATTGTCTAAAAGTTCGACCCCAGTTCTGAAGTCGGAAAAAAATCAATTTTCATAGTGAAGACTTTGGCTTATGCAAGCCTTTTTTAACAGACTGCTAAGTAAAAAGGAATACTTTTCTCGAGTTTTAGTAGGAAGTTTTGACTTAGTTTATTGACACAATTGAATGTCTGCAATTCCGACCGGTTTTAATCACACTACTCAAAGTAATTGGCAAAATTGATGTTGTATAATTGTATTTCACTCCATGCAACTGTATTCATATACTGCTAGACTAGATGTTTTTTCATATACTAATCAATTTCTTTTTATTCTACATCTACAGACTCAATTTGTTGTTGTATTCTCTCACATCGGCTATGTCATTGCTTTCACCAATTGCAAATACCCAGAGGTTTTCAAATACATCATCGGTGCTTATGGTAAGAATATTTTACATATTGTATTCATTATTTATCGATTTCGATCGGTAAATATGTTGATAGGTATTTGTCTGTATGTTTGTCTGTTAGATGCACGCGATATCTCACGAAAGCGAGATTGAATCTGTTCCAGATTTTGCATGTGCATTCATCTTACCTCGGACCAGAAGCCTATTGATTTTGGGCGAATTATGTCGTATGATTAGCGAGTAATTAAATAATTAGTGATGGGACACAAGGTGTCACTATGGAGTAAGAGCGCTGTTTTGGGGATCCACTAACTTTCAATCGATAGGTCTTCGGTCTCTGACCGATATTCTCGTTATAAACCCTTTATTGTTTTTCAATTTAAATGCTGTGTATATGAATCATTAAATCCATTTCACCTTTCTAAACTATCTATCTATGTCTCTCACTTTCTGTCATGTAGTGTCTGCCTCTATTGTTATGTAACAACACTGCTGCAATTTTGCGAGCTGCAGTTTATTTATCTGCTGAACCAAGTTTAGCGAGCATGAGTGATTTTTTTAGCCAGTCAAAAAAAATCCGGCAGAATCGAGTAAGGAGACCTTTTGCCTTTATTCCTTAAGCCCTCATGTTTACAAATTTTAATAGGCATAAAGTACACATTAACGATCACAAAATTGAGTTTTATTTATTTTTTTCGTGTAAGTACGTTGTGAGTTTATTCCCTGATAATTTGGCATCGCACGAACAAAAGGTTTGGAAACCGCTGTGCTAAACTATATTTCTTGTTTCAGGCACAATATTCTTCATTCTGTTTGCTGACTTCTGGACAAAAGCTTACAGCAGAAGACCCGCACAAAAAGTGAAAGATGAACCTAAAACAGAATTGACCTCTGAACCCGCTAAGGAAATAGGAAATGGAGAAAGTGTCATCCAAAGGAGAAAGCCTATTTCTGTCAAATAAACTCATTTAACACATAAATATAAACTGTTGAGTTCAATATGTTTTCGTCATTAACGAGGTTTCCTGACAGCTTTCGATCCAATTTCCAAGTTAAGTTACAAAATTGAATTACTTTTTTAGTTATATTCATGATGTAGACAAATTTTAAGTGATTCAACATCTTGTTTTTATTTATAGATATACTATTTTATTAAGGAGGTCAAAACATACCTCTATGTTATTAACATTTTTATAAAGTAGTTTTCCACAATTTATATTATTGTAATTCTAAATTTCTCTGACTTCTTGGTAATAAATAGTAGAATAACAGGAATTTTGGATAATTTTTATTTGTTGTACTATTGGTATAATTATTGTGAAAAATGCTGAAATCTCAAAGAAATTTGCTTGGGATTTAAAAATTTTCGTGCACTAAAATGAAGGGACCTTATAATTCGAAAATTTGCCACAAATAATTTTGTCACAATATTAGAAATGAGCATTTGTTTTCAAATTCAATTCCTTTGAGATATGTTTCCATGTTCTTTTTATTATGTTTCAATGTGCTCCTATGCTTTGCATGCTTTTATCCGAAACACCAAATGGTGCAACATTTTTGTAGTAGATTACTCGACATATTTCGACTTCAGCATTTACACAGTGAACATGTACGATTACCTATTCTTAGATGGATACTGAACGATGGTGCAACATCCAACTCTGATGTTGTAAAAATCACAAACGCTCCGTCCAACTTTATTATATTTATGTTTTTCGCAGTGTTACTAGGTAATTTTCGTAACTTTGCCAAAAAGTGGTTTTGTACTGATGTAATGCCAGTACCGTAATCAAGATCTTGTAGAATATCATAGGTCGAATTACATAGTAAATACTTTTTCATTTCATTCTATTTTACCCATAGTTCTGACAGACGTCAAAGTTGAAAGTAGGCCAGTACAAAAAAATCTGCTCTTATAATCCGAAATGTTTAAAATATCTTGCATACAAGAATATTGAAATATATATTAAAATGCCATTCTATTCATGTCAAATGTATGCCTCTGTACAGAGCACCACCATTTCTCACAAGACAGTTAGGACTAGCTCAGTTACAAATTAAGCAATGCAATTCACTGATACACTTACTGGGGACCACATTGCTTGACTAGAAGTTCTTAAATTTCCATGGTTTATCTCCATGGCCCCTTTCCACAGACTCGCGGCACTTGTGGCATTGCTGCTTTTCTATAAAAATGCCCACTTTTGTTCAGTTATTTTCATTAGTTAAAAGCTAACAAACAAAATAAAAAGAATTGAATAAATCACAGTCAACTTTAACCTAATGTGGTCATCACGAATGGCACTTAATGAAAGCCTTTGCTTGTGACCCTATAGAACCATTTCATTGCCACCGAGGGGGCCAGGGGGTCTAGTTTGTGAAACCCGTTGGGATGGTGAAGTCCTGTATATGGTTTTAAATGTTTGTTTTGTGTGTGAAATAATTTTATTCTTCTATAATTTTTCCTCCCTAATTTGTATTAGTTCATAGATATGTACATCATTTCGTTAATTCCCAGTTGAAAGTAACTTAAAGTTAACATTAGAAATAATACATAGCGGCCCATTTTTACACATCACTTTTGCAATATATATTGGCATAAATTTTCATTGCATTCCTGCACTCCGCAATCATGTTGTTTAGCACAAACAATTGCACGTTTTACACATAACTTAATTCCATGTTTTTGTTGATGACCTGACATCCTATCCTTATATTCGCCTTATACAGTCTCAGTTGTGCTTTTGAGTTATAAAAGGCGTTCGACAAAGATGCTCATGCTATCTAGCTTGTAAAAATATCCGACTTCGTCAGGGATAAAATTTTATTTTTTTTCACTTTATTGCAGATGGGCGTTTGGTTTATTGAGGTTTACCGTATTACCGCAAGTTGTTTACCGTATTTATGACTAATGAGGCAATTTTAATGAAATATTGCATGGTTATTTATTCCTGCCTGGAAGTAAACTAGGAATAATATACATACATGACTTATGTAACTGATAAAAACGAGCTGTAATGTTGCTAAATAAAAGATGAAATGTTTTTATTTTTTATATATTTTTTTTTATTTGGTGTGCTTGTATTACTATATTCAAAAATACAAACTATGATGAGATGAATTCACTTGAAAAAGTCAACGATTGTCACTCCTAATTAACTATTGTCGTTTTATTCACGTTCATTTAATCAATTTTGTGGTATCCAACTTATGTGGGCATGATGCCATCTGTGTCCATTTAATAACTTTATTTGGTGATACTCTTGAAATATTGTATAAAAATTCCTCCATGTTATTTTTATTTTTAGTTTGACCGGTTTTAACAATTCTGTTGAGAAACCTTAAAGTACTAAAAGTTGTAGCATAATTTTAGATAAATGGAATCTTACCTTACCTAATGGCTAAATAATAGATACGCAGGTGCAATGCTATTTTTAAGTTATACTGATGTAAAATGATTGTGCAAGTTCATTTTAGCTGTGGAAGACGAATACATGTGCTATTTTTTGAGATTGTTTTGCTGATTTGTTTTTATCGAATGAAATTTTTATCCATACCGAAAATTCATTTTCAATTTATGTTCTACATCTGAAAGTATGTATGTACCAACTTTAATGTTCTTTCGAATTCATATATATTTTTTTGGCTTATTTTTATGGGTTTGGACATTTTCTCAATGAACTTGTTTATTTCTGTGTATTGAGATCCATATACTACGATTTTAAATATATTGGAATATGTTTAAGCTTGATTTGTGTGTACATTCACTTAATATGAGTAAATTTAGAATTATAGGATATCTCTAGTTGTGGTCAATAGGATGATCTGAGCTTTCGCCTGTTTATTTATTCCTGTTTCCGACAGAGTGGACGAGCGGGAGACCCAATGATTCACGGTATAGTTGTCAACTGTTGCTCTCAAGGAAATGGTACATCATAAAACTTCATCGAAGCCTGAGATTTAGAGTAGGATCTTCGTATTAGGATAGGATTTACATATTTATCCCGGGGGAGAGGAAAGCCGATAAGACGGCCTATCCATATGACGAACCACGGCCTCTCGTCCGGTTACCATTCCAAGTCGGGTATGGGATTAGTTTTTACTGTATTGTTTGTTTTCGGAAGCATGGACTTGGTGGTGGAGGAAGCCGTAACCGACCAGCGGTTACGTGAACCACCCAACGACGGCGAGGAGTCCAGCAATCCTCTCGCACATAACCATCCCTGCATGGGATTCGAACCTGCGAACCCACGCAGAGTAATTAGAGGTGCGGTGGCGGGCGTATTCCTAACGCTTAGCCCGTTGAGCCACACCGCCGCGCCCATTTATTTAACTCAGGGTGGAGAAAACCCAGTATAAATACGTGCGAGAGGATTGCTCGACTCCTCGCAGACAAATAGTGGTTCATAAACCGCTGGTCGGTCAGGTTCCACTATCAAGTCCACGCATCTGAAACAAGTAACTGGCTCACTAATTCCGTAGGCCGTGACTGACCACGTGATTCAGCCGTCTTAGGATAGGATTTACATATTTATCCCCGGGGAGAGAAAAGACGGCTTAATCATATGAACTTTCCCCTCTCCGGGATAACAATTCTGCTCGGCGGTGTGGCTCAATGGGCTAAGCGTTAGGAATACGCCCGCCACCGCACCTCTAATTACTCTGCGTGGGTTCGCAGGTTCGAATCCCATGCAGGGATGGTTATGTGCGAGAGGATTGCTGGACCCCTCGCCGTCGTTGGGTGGTTCACGTAATCGCTGGTCGGTTACCGCTTCCTCCACCACCAAGTCCATGCTTCCGAAAACGAACAATATAACTAATCCCATACCCGACTTGGAATGGTAATCGGACGAGAGGCCGTGGTTCGCCATATGGATAAGCCGTCTTATCGGCTTTCCTCTCCCCCGGGATAAATATGTAAATCCTATCCCATCCTATCCTAAATATGCAAATGATGGTCCAGCCGCAAGTGCTAATGTTGACTTGGCGAAATGCTTGTTTGGTGAAAAATACGCTTACGTTGATTAATTCCGTTTAAATGGTTCCATTGGCTTAAACCAGGGGTTCCCAAATCCGGTCCGCATGACAATTTAAAATGGCCCGCCGAGCTTGAGTGAAATGGTGTTCAACAGATTTTGTTTTCATCCTTTTGCGAACTAGATACCGCCAATTACTACATCATTATTACAGTGGAGTTTAAGCACTTGTTTATTGTAGCAATCCAATTATACCATTATTTCAGTTATACGTACCGGTATTAGGATTACATGGGGCAGAAATTTATTTATCAGTCACATAAGAAAGCTTAGAGATGTCGAAAAGCGAACGAAAACTAGATGCCGAAAACAGACGTTTCTTGGATAAATGCCAGGGTTCATATTTCTATATTGAAAAGAATTAAACTTCAGCGAGTTGTCTTCTTTGCAAACGAACTTCTGGAGAAATACGACATTAAGCGCCATTGTGAGTCGAACGAACATGTTTCAAAGAAAATGTCAAATGAAAGTGAATCCACAGAATCCCAGCTAAACCGTCGCGCACTTTCGGGCTTACACTTTTCCGGCCCGCGAACATCCTTCCGATTCTAATCTTGGCCCGCGTCCAATAAAGTTCGGAAACCTTTGGCTGAACCCTAAACATTAATAACAATTTTATAGCGATCGGAGACCGCTGACTTATCGATCTTCCGCATATTCTCTTCGCTCTGACTCAATAGCGACATCGCGTGTCCCATCACTAATTAATCAATAACTCGCTAATTATACGACATAATTCATCCAAATCAATTGACTTCTGGTCGGAGATATGATGAATGCACATGCAAAATTTGGAGATTCAACCTCGCTTTCGCGTAACATACGAAAGTGTCTAACACAGAGTTCCCTAACTATTTGGGCCGCGGCCCCCTATTTGTTGATATTATTTTTTACGGAACCCCATCCTATACCAATTCATATGCTTAACTAAGGAGGGAGGATAATGTTCTATTTTGATTTAGAACACAACAACACAAACGACATGTGACGGATCAATTTCTGACGAGCAAACTTGTAGGCCCAACTGTACGACAGCGTACTACTTTAATTGTGTATTCTTGAATAGTCTCCCACAATTAACTCAACTGGGGTTCACGCCTCTTTCTTGCATAAACGGGGCTCAGATGACCATAGCAAAGTCGCACAAGTTCTTGACTGGTGATCACTCAATAACGCATACAATCAATCATTACCGACGACTTAGCTCTGTGACAGAGATCTACCTCACAGACGCTGAAAGCAACAATCGTCTACATTTACAACAACTTTTTCGCTCCCATTGTTAAGGTCTCGTAACAATTACCATTCGCGATTGCGTTAACTTACGATTTTATCTCGTTTATGAATGTCTAAGTAACAGTGGATATACGTTAAATGTATATATTTCAGATTCTCAATATATCTGCGGACCCCCTGTGTAGTCGTCACGGACCCCAGTTTGGGAAACCCTGGTCTAACAAACAAACAAACAGACGAAAATACCTATAAACATACTTACCGATCGAGATCGATAAGTAGTATTAGTCATAATCAGGTTTATGTTTAAGTAATGAAGAGTTACCAGTAAGCGACTATATTGATGCGAATAAAAATGGGCGGGATGGCACACGAAGCATTAAAATTATCTAATATTAATTTCAAATGAAATACCGGTATGATTTGAAACTATGAAGGCTATAAACTAGAGATGTACCGATACCACTTTTGTCGCCGATACCAACTAAAAATCGCCGATACCGATACGCCGATATTTCAGAAAGCTGATATTGCCGATATGCTGATATCCCGATACATCAGGGCCGGCTTCAAGCCAATTCGACTGATTTTATCAAATTGGGCCTCACACCTTGAAGGGGTCTCGTGCTAGCGGGGGTCTTTTTCTGCACAAAATACTACTGTACTGAGGTACAAAAAATTTCTGACAACGTAAAATAAAAATTAAATAATCTCTCTCATAATATAAATTTGTTTTGCATGTTAAATTATAGTTATGTCACCATTAGCAAATAAATTCTTACGGTTCTGCTTTATTTCAGAATTTCAGATTAATATTTTTGTAATGTTTTCTAAAAAAACATTGACAATGAAAATATTTTGAATGATTTTGCTAATAAAAAGGCTAGAAAAGTATTTTACTGAAAAAAGAGTACAATGTGATTGCCTATTTTGCCTTTCTTGATGTTAAAAGTAAAACATTGAAAGTATCCACATTACCTTAGATTTGTTTTATAGCAAGTATTAAATGTCTATTTTTTTGGTTTGTATAGATGTTTTTTTTTTGTAAAATATAAACACCCATAAATTTTAATATGAAGAGTAGGGGGCCCGCCATCAGATTTCTAATTGGGCCCAGCAGTTACTAGTACCGGCCCTGCGAGGATACAATGTAATTATTACCCCAGGTGCGCAGGACAGGCCGGTAAAAACATAATCTTTAAAGCATCATTCATATTGCACTTCATTTCAGATTAAAAAAAATGTTCCAGATGATAAGAAATTGATGTTTGGGATCCAGTTGCGTGAATCGTAAATATATACTGAATTGATTCAAACACATAGCAATATATAAAGCAAAAATGATTCCAACATCAGTATTCTAACTTATTTTTCAAACTTTTTGGATCAGATTAAAAAACTAAGTAAACACGAACTCGCGAGATCACTCGGAACAAAACTTTTTTGGGTCAAGGGTCAAGAAAACATAAGGATTCGAGGCGGGGACTTTACTAGTCATCCGTGACGTAGACACTCCTTCCAATTGTAGTTGCCAGATTAGATGATGAGTAACAAAACTTAAGCAAATTCAAGTACGATAACAATTGCCTCCCGCTTTTATTACGTGAATATCACTAAAACTTAAATTTTTATAAATTCTTGGAAGTCATAAAGATTCTTGAAAATTTGATTCGATGACAATACTCACTGTAACATAAGCGCTGTTTGGCGATTATTAGCGCCATTTTAGGTTGATCAGTGTTTTAATAAGTCTGCAAGGCGCGATTTCCGCGATTAAAATTGAGTACCGGTATTGCATTATTGAGAATATTGAGTGGGTATTTATTTCTGTATTTGTCATTTTTCGTTTAATTGGCACTGGAATTCAATTTGGCAAATAAAAGATGAATTTTATTTTTCCATGCCAAAATAAGATAAGTCATAACTTACCGTATTTAATTATCTTCACCATGATAACAAGCAACTGAATTGGAACTACAATCTGACAATGCAGCAATGCCTGGATGAATTGTTTGTTGATATTAAATTTATGAAATACCTGAGAGATATGGGCTCTATTCCAGTATTGCATATTTATTTTTCCACTCAACAGGAATTCAAACCATGTAATTGTATTCCGATATCACAGTACGGTACTGCAGTAGACTATCAATTATTTTAACAAAATTGGAAATGACATACAAATAATTTCAATTCACTTTAATATCTGAATACTGGAATGGACAAAAATACAAAAATGTTAAATGCCATATTCTGATATTGCAGTATTGGCAGATTGGCACTGAAATTCGATAAAAGAATTGACTATTCAACATACTGACATAGCTAGACTGCCAGACTACGTACGGTACAGACAGACAGAGTTTGTACCCACTGACCTCGATACAGACCTACTTTATTTCAGTATTTTCACTGCAACTACAAAGAAACGAAAATATTAAATGAATTAGCTAAGCAAGACATTTGTGTAGTTACCGAGTTTGTGTAATAAGTACTGCGATAAGTTTATTTTGATTTCCAAAGAAAAACATACAGATATATGGACACAAAAATCCTGTAACGAAAAAACATGGAAGTTTGAGAAAAGTCGAAAAAATGCTGAAATGACAAAACCTCTAAAGTTTACAATACCAAGAAATGTGCCAGTTAATTATATAGAAAAATGAATAAAAACTCTACTAACTTAAGTAACAAAAACAAATTGCAAACACAGGAAGATGCAGACATTGTTACTGCATTAGGGCACCGATTCCAAAATGTCCAGATATTAGTTCGATAAAACAAACACTCTGTTTGTCACTGAAACGAGGGCATAGTGCATGACGGCAGATGTGTTAGAAAGCGTAATGCTTGTCTTGACAACAGTTTCAATCGCGATGTGTGGTGGCCGTCATGTACCAACAGTCTACTCCGTTTTTTTTCTAAAAACTCCTGAATGCTGCAGTGAATTTTTTTTCATTCTTTGAATCTGATTATTTTTTCCATGAAATCCAATGGTGACGTTTGTAGATTGCGCATCTTTTTAGATTATAGTGCAGTGATGGTTTGGAGGGCCAGACTGTCTTGTAAAGGAAAGGTTTGCACTCACTGTTATAATTGAGGTCTTCTAGTGTAGGGATATTCTTGGGAGTCGGATGACTGTGCCGTACTGCTATAGGTCTATATCAGGGGTGTGCAACATGTTTTGTCGATGAGCAATATAACCAACTTGAGACAGCTATCTGGGCTACAGAAAAAGTTTAGAAGGAAAGGCAAAAGAAGCAGAATGCAGCTATCGCTCAGCCTTACGGTAATAAATGCTGAAATGCATCGGGCAAAACGGGGAAAGATTTAACGCAACGGAGTAAGCGAAAAAACATGTATTTTATCCAGGTGATCTTTAAACATGAAATTGTTGGATTAGGATTTTATGCCTGATGGGGAAAATCTGAGTGTTGACAAGGGCCCCACTAAATTGCTTGTCGGGTTGTGGCCTACGGGCCGCCTATTGCACACCGCTGCTCTGCATTCTGTGTATTTCATTGACCGTATATTAATATGCATTTAGCATTTCATTAGGCCTATTTGAATATGTATTTTTTAACATTCATGTAACATTTTTCATTGTTTTTAGAATTGTCATTTAATATTTTCTCTAAACAATTTATATGGTTTGTAACAGTCATTGAAACCAAATGGCAGAAGCAAAGCAATCTCAAGGATGTCCTTTGGCTATGCTTGCACAAACATGCAGCAAGATACAACCATCAGAGTCGACGGAAGATCAAACACCTACAAAAGCTAAGAAAATTCCAATCAAAATTGCTCCGAAATTCTACGCTTTGAAGAATCAAAGCCTTGTTGGCTGTTCGCCGAAAATTATGGTCAAATTGGCTACCACAGAAGCTCCAAACGTATCTCAATCTGCTCATAGACCTATATTTACCGTTCCATTAGCTGATATTGAAAAAACGCAAAGTATTTCGCTGCATACAGTTCCTAATGTTGTTACAAATGGAAACTCTTCGGAGCAACCTGCTTTAATAGAACAGGCTCGTCCTCCTCAAATATTTCAATTGGTGGAACCTAGTTCCGCTGTTGCTTTAATTAGAAGCGACCCTTCTCAAGGACCTGTTATATTAGCTCCTAAAATGACTGCAACAACTGTACCTACCGCAAATACTAATTATAATCCTCAGTTAATGAGCAGAAATTTGAAGCAGATATCTGCAAATACTTTTATTCCTTCTGTGCGAGAAAATACACAGTTGAATATACAAGATTCTACAGGGCCAGCCCAAATCAATATATGCACACAAGATAATAATGGATATGGCAATGCAAATGCTACAATACAAATCATGATGCCCCCTAACACTCCGTTAACAAGTTTGCAATCAATTTTGCAACTTGCTGCTAATGCTACAAAACAATATCAATCTACTGGTAATGATTATCAACAAGGACTAAATAATACTCAGGATAGTGGTACCGCCGATAGCGTTATGGATGATAGTAACATCAGTGATATGATTGATTTTGATAGTGCAGAAATGTCAACACCGATACCAGAACGGCCAACGATAGCAAGAAAAATGCGCACCCAATGCAGTTGTGCAAATTGTATAAATCGTAGAATAAATCCCAAATCTTTCACCTCAAAAAAACGCACTCACATATGCTCATTTGAAAATTGCAATAAAGAATTTGGTAAAACGAGTCATCTAAGATCACATATGCGTACACACACTGGTGAAAGACCATACGCATGTGAAATTCCTTTTTGCAACCGAAAATTCACACGCTCAGATGAATTGCTACGTCATCATCGAACTCATAGTGGGTTGAAAAAATTTGAATGTAGTTATTGCGATAAAAGATTCACTAGAAGTGATCATTTGAAAAAGCATACAAAGATTCATACAAGATGAATTATTTATTATCTGAATTTCGAATTACAACTTTTTTCAAGAAATAATACTTTATCATTGCGATCTTTCTTATTATCTGCAAATCTGTTATTTATGCATCATGAAACTCTTTCGTATTCATTTCAATGGATTCTACCCTGGATTTTGACCCCAGAAAATTTTTCTTACACTATCATTGAAATATTTTTGATGCTCATTTTAGGAGTTTTTCACCATTTATTTTCACAATATCTAAGCATCTAACTTTGATGAAGTATTGGCAGCTATTTTCTGCCCAATGTGTCTTAGACCTTGGAGATAATTGTTTGGAAACTTTAACTAATCTAATTATAGTACTATTGAAGTACTATAGTTGAAATATATTTGTTCGAAGAAGTCTAGACTTCATTCAGCCAGGCGAACTGTTATAGAAATTATTTTGTATTATCCTGCAGCAATACTTTTAAATTAACTTAAATTGAATAGTTTTGATTTATATTGTCTTTTTTCCTTTTTTTGTAGGAAGTAAAACCAAGTTTATTTGCAATATATTGGTCAGATGTTTCAAACAGAAATATTAAAAATAATTCCTAAAATCAAGAATTAACTTTATCAAATGAAATTTTTTGATTTGTTTTAAACAACCCTGCCCAACCAAAGTTTGCTTTTTCTGGTTTGATTGACTATTCTTGGATTTTTGATAAATTTAAGTTTACCGTAAGTTCTATAATACATTTTTATATTATTGAATATTTGTACAATCACTATTCAGATTACTTTGACTTGATTTTTTGTTTAGTTTTCTTGTTGCTATTTATACGTGAATATCCCTGTGACCAAATAGTGAAGCACGACATGATGAATGTTCTTAAAAACTATAATTTATTTGACAGAATAGATAATCATAAATTGGAATTCATGTTCTGGAATTACGTCTCATATTTTGAATTGAATGTTTGAAAACATCATCTTATTGTTATTTGAATTTGTGTTCCGAATATTATTGTATTCATATTTTGGTGTCCAAACATAATTACAGTGAAATCATAGTTATCTTTTTTTTTCATAATTTTATACATTTCAAGCATGTAGGGTCCTGATATTTATTTCAAGAGATAGGAAAGTTCATAAGACGGATTCATCCTATGGGGAACCAGACCATAGTCTCGCACTCAGTCATCGGTCCAGACTTGTGGGCTAGACAAATGTTTCAGATGCATGGACATTGTTTGTATCATTACAACAAAGGGTGTAATGGCCTTGTGTTGATGCTGAACTTCATTATGTTGTCAATATTGCCATCAAGAGATAGCCCCTGACCTCTTACATGTAACCTTTGCAGGCCCAATTCCAAGTGTGTACTGATTTTATAATTTGGGTATAAAAGCCTATCTGAAATGATAGATTGATAGTGTAAAGCAAATGCAAAGTAAACATTTTTTTAAAAATATCATGTACCGAAAATAATATTTGGCTGGTTGCTAACACTTGTGTAAATGTTGTTTTGCTTCAACTTATACTGCCAAGTATATTTGAGAGATTGCAGATTTTTGTTTGAAGATATTTACAGTTAATTGTAAAATTTGTATTTTGCTGGATATTTTCTCTATTCTCATATTTTGTTGGTGTTTTTTACCAGAAATAATTTAGGCATGAGAAGCTCGTTACTTAAAATATTAGGTTTAAATTATGTGGCATATCGGCCTTTTTCATTGGCAAACAAGCAATTTCAGTCGGAACTTATTTCTGCATGGAAAACTCTTGGCGTTACAGATAATTGTTCTCGCGAAGAAGCACGAAATGCCTTTATGAAATGGGCAAAGGAATACCATCCTGATAGCGGTTCACCAAACGCAAATAGCGATAAGTTTTCGGATTTATCTACAGCGTATAAACTTGTGATAAAGAATATAAAGTTCAAAGAAAATGCTAGCATGCCAGATATTATCGAGGAGGAATATTCTATTGAAGAAATTTTAAAAGAAACGATTCCTATTGCCCATCGGAAATATCTCACAAATGATGGAATTGGTTATGGAACGCCAAGTCAACGTCAAAAACAATATCAAGCTTATAGGATGAATAGAGCTAGTGCAATGGTGTCTGACTATAAAATGCAGAAAGTACAAAGAGAAACAGAAGGATCCAATATGCTAACAGTAAAAGAGTTTGCAAAAAGGTCTAAAACATCACATTTTGTGGATCGAGTTGTTGAAGATTTAATCCAGGAATCAATGGCGAAAGGAGAATTTGATGATACTATTAAAGGAGGTAAGATTGAAACACCTACAATGCCATATGTTGACCAACATGATTATCATTTGAATAAAGTTTTGATAAACAGCGGATACACGCCTGAATGGGTACAATCGAAGCAAGAAATTAAAAAAAATCTTGAAAAATATCGAGATACTTTATTGCAAGAAAGAAAACGTTTTCACAGATCTTCTTCACAATATTCGAAAATTAGTAAGGAACGATGGAAAGAAAAATGTGATGAATTTTACAAGTTGATAGATTCTATAAATAAAGAAATTCAGCTTTTTAATTTGATTACACCATTGCCGAAGACGCAAATGCTTATGCTTTGTCCAGATAAAGAGTTTGAATTTGTTCAAAAGCAGTTTGAAGAATGTTTGAATAGCGAAGAATTCAGACTTCAGGCTAAATCTGACAAAAACAAAACTGATGACACAAAGTCTTTATTTTCATCTTTGAAGGAATTTTTGTCGTTTTAAGATATGTTTGCACTTGTAGCTAATATATACCTCCTAATTCTTCTCAACTTGAATCATATATTCCTCTTAATTAAAGTAGAATGTTTCTGGTATTTACGGCTCAGGTAATGAAATTAATCTTATTAATTTTTATCCATTATTGTTATAGATGGTGAACTTTATTTCATTTTTTTTGAAAAAATATTCAAGTTACGTACCCTGAATCAGAAGTAGGTATAACTCATTTCTAAGCAATATTATAGCAACCACTGAAATATGAAGATCTACTGATATATATATAGATTTTACGACTGTTCTGGGTATTATTAATTAAGGAGAAACAGATGACATGGGAGCTTGATAAACCATGATCTTTCCTATATTCATCTATATTTCTATGAAAGAGTGGTGCATTTGTATAGATATGAGATGCATGTTGCCATTATCTTATTGATATCTGTGAATATTTGATCATATAGTGTTACTATAATAGATTTGTTGCTAAAATTGAACCTATTTAGTTATTCTCGATTTACAATTTACTTAAGATTATGATTATACATAAGGTTTAAAAAGATCATACAAATGTTTTTTTTCTGAATTTTGTATGACTACTCCAAATGACGACTAAAATAGGATTTTTAATTTTGGATCGATTCCTGTCCAGATAAGTGTTATTATATAGTATATACTAAATTCAAAAGTATTTTTGGAATCTATTTGCAATTGTAAATTAGTTAGATTCGGTCATTTCTATCTCCAGTATACATAATATATTGAATTATTAATGCAACATATAGATCATCATGTAACAGTCTACCTCATCTTAATTATTTTGGAATGTACAGCTATTTAATCGCAGGCGACACTGATCTATGTGAATATATTATGTAAGGTCGCCAGTACTATGTTAATCATTTACTAAGTAATAAATTTAATGCTTCCTTTGGTTCGTTGGCATACAAGGATTCAATCCTAAATATTTTTACTCTCAATGTTAAGCTATGTTAAGCTGAGGGATTGGATATGTTTATTTTTCAAAGATGGAGTTTGATTTTATGGGAATTTAATTTTGATGCTCTTTCGTGATTTAGAATATTTGATTTCAAGAGTAATAGGATTTGTGCCATTTTTTTAAGTACAGTAAATCTCAAATTTTTGAGACTGATTGTTTGAAAATATGCCCTTCAATATTTGAAAAAAGTAGTTAATATAATGATAACAATTCAATTCTTTAACCAATCCTATGGTAACCTAACCTTGGTATGGCAAAAAGTGAAACAGTACTAGTTTTTGTTTCAGTGAGGGCTATCATAGCCTCGACTTAAGTTGTCAGCCTAACTCTCTACCTCAGTGTTTTTCAAACTTATCTACCAGTTTCTATCAGTTATTTTATTTGCTACCTTTCATTCATAGTGAAAAGCCAACATAAGTGGAGGTAGAAGAATAAGGCATTGCAGTCAGAGACTTGAAAAAACCCACAGACAATTTTTTTGGAACTTTGAATTGGAATAGTTCCTAACCTAGGGCTTTTGAAATGGCCGTGGCCCCCAGAGATTTGCTCTTTGGCCCTACGATGGTTGAGAGCCTAAGTTAGAGAAATGCTGCTCAAATATCAGATTCTCTCATTTGAGTACTTTCAAATTCTCTGATTTTGATCAAAAATATTCTGTATAATTTATGACACTGTAAGAGGTTGGAATATTTTGACTTATTTATGTTTAGGAAAACAATTTTTCCTATTTCCTCAGTTCGAATTGATCCAGGTTTCACTGTGTATCGTAATTAAAATTATTCAGGATAATGTGGTATGTTATTCCAATATAATATTTATTAATAATTTATGGTACATATATTGTACTTGTTTCAATTTTCAGATTTTATCTCATTTTAGCAAAATAAAATATCTATTTCTGATTGTCCAAATTATATAATTGAAGATGGAAAATTCAGAAGATGAAAATGTTCAGGCATTACTGAGTAAGTTTATGAATAAACTTTTTCTTATTTTTCGGTTTCACCTGTATAAACTATTATTGCATTTGAGGTTTGGGAATTTCATTATCATAGAATCACTGATTTATGTTTGGCTCGTTTGCTTTATTCTCTTAGTTTGTTCCGAATCTACTTGCAAGTGATATATATATATATATTGTTATTGAACCTTGTAAAGCAAGAACAAGTAGATCCAAAATCATTGGAGCGTGAAACAATACCTATAAAATGAAGTGAACAGGCAGGCAGTGTTGTCAGAAATTAACAAAACAAAATATAACAATATTAACATATGACAGAAATTTCAACACTGTCTGTAGGAAATAATAAAGATTAGTATTTTAATTGGTTAATTTTCAATCTGTGTTGTTGCATTTGCATATTCTAAAGAAATATTATATTTTGTTCAATTCTATGCATTTCCAGAGTCCTGCTGTACACTAACACATGATTGATTGTTCTTTTCTTGTAATTGTTGTGAACTGCTTGTCTAATTTTGGCCAGACGTAACGTTACAGAAGTACATTTGTGTTAGTGTGCAGCAGGACTCTTTGAATTGCATAGAATAGCGATGTTTGTTTCTGGTACAGCATCATACACATACTGATCCACTAGTGCAAAAGCATTGAAAAAGGATCGGGAGTCAGTCTTGTGTAACCTCTACTGAAGTTGTTCAAATCTGTTACTTTTTATTTCTAGACATGGGATTCTGCGATGTATCACTTATTCGTAAAGCTCTTCAACTTGGTAAAAATGATTTGAATGAAGCAGTGTCGTATCTAACATGTGAAGTACCAATGTCATCTTATGAAACGTTCACTGATGTTGAGATGCAAGAGGTTTCGACTCAAAAGTATGGTTAATTTCTTCCATCAAGTATATAAATTATACACATGTGGCATCTAACAACTATTTAAAAATTTGAACAATGTCAGACTAAGTTTTCTACAGAAATAAAACAAAATCTAGCAGCCCAAAAGTACCTGTAATTTCTTAATTGTCATTATAAAAATTTTTGAAAAACAATTTTGGTTGTAATAAAATTCAATTTGGTTACACCAGTGGTTCTCAAAATGGTGGGGCATGCACACAAGGGTGCGTAGACAATTGTTTTAGGGTGCGTGAAGCTGATTAAAAATAAAAATATTTGTTAGGTTTGATGCTGCCTGCCTTATTTTGAATATTTATATTTCTTCACTGTTTGGAGATTGTGATTCATTCTGTTATTTGTAGCTCATTGTTAGTTAGTTATATTTGATGTGGGGCGCGAGACTTGACAAGTTCTAAAAGGGGGTCGCGGCTTGAAAAGTTTGAAAACTGTTATATACAGATAAATAGATTTGGTGTACGGTAATTATATTTTTGCATTTCAGTTTTTCGCAAGATCCTCCGGCATACTCAAGTTTGTTTGATTCATCTTCAACAACTAATACAACAAGTATCACTAATGGAAATTCAGATTCACAACATACAGAGGAGATGCAGCAAGATAGCGGTAGATTTTGACGATTTCTCGAATTTAGTCATGTAGTTTTAGTGAGAACATCATAGATTGCATTCAGTTTAATAATCCGAATAATGAATCCACCATTAAGTTTACCAAGTTATTCCATAACAGTATGCTGTTTTTGTATATGGCATTTGGACTTGCTATTAAGCTGCTAAAGAATTAATTACAGTATGTTATAAACTTGGGGATCAAACTTGTGCCCATGCTGGGGGGATAAATTGGGGAGGAAATGCAGGATTTACCTGCTAAAAATCATAAATTGTTAGATATCGGTGGATGCCTGTACATGGCCTTGTTTGGAGTGAACTGCATGTAAAAGCATCAAAGAAGGAAAAAAGTCGGCTTGTTTTCATCAAGTATGCAACAGTACACTTAGTTCATTCTATATTTTGATTTTAACTTGTATGATAGTAACTCCTTTTTGAATAGTCCCGTAGTGTGTGTACTAGGTTAGGCCATATTTTTATTCCGATTTCCCTATTTTAGTTCTATTACGAGTTCAGTGACTATCTGTGTTAGCCATGTGAATATACCCCCTCTCTCCCATCCATAGGTTTCAGTCACTTCACACAACTTGATGTGAAGTAGGCGAACAAAATTAGTTACTTCCATATTGGTACAAACACTTCGTGAGCGCCGTCTTTTAAGGTCCAGTTACTACAACTTTTTGAAGAGAACTATGTTTCTTCCTTTTCCTTTTTCCTATATTGTTATGTATTACTGAGATCCCGCAACATGTTACAATTTATATTTTAATTTTTTTCCAGAAAATGATTTAGTCTTCCCATACGAATATTTAGTAGAATTGGAAGGACGAGTCTTTGTTGATGTTTGGTCGATTCCATATAAAACCGACGAATCTTTGGCAAAATGTTTAAGAGCGGCCACAAGGTTAACAATTGAAGGTTGGTGTTTTTATATTTTTCATGCAGTATATAAATCTGGTAATGAAAGTGGTGTTAGTGTTGGAAATTACCTTATCTTCACGTATAAGCCAATCTCACATATAAGCCGGCCCCCCCAACAACGGCTCTAAAACGTTGAGTACTAGCTGTTGGAAATAAGTTAGTATAATGTCATTTTGTTTGAGTGCAATCAGAGTTATGCGCGTATAAGCCTAGGTTTTATTTCAATGTACATAGGTGGAAGAGTGAGTAGAAGATGACCATCATTGTGCGAACCAATGGTTTTCAATGAAATCCACTTCTCATTAGTCTAAAATTTCCTAACCTAAATCCTATTTTTCTTTGAAAAAAACACAAAGTGTTTTTGGTTTCTCAATAACTTGCTGGTTTTATGAATCAGATTTGGATTTGTTTTAGGCAAAATAGTTGATTGTATCTGCCTATCATGGGATACTATTTCCCCGCCAAAGAAAAAAACATTTTTTCTCTCGAAAATATGCCTTAAATTTAGTTTATTGCTATAATGAAAAGTGAATAAACAGTGATACGATTTTTTGCCTCTGTTCTCAATAAGTTCTGTTTTTGTGGTTTATGGTGTAATTGTTCAGGAATATTTTTTATTTGATATTTTCATGATTTATTTTTCGTTGTAAAATACTTGCTCACCTCTCTAGCATTACGAAATTGAAGAATTGTCATTGGATTATATTCATATTATTTTATATATCATTCATCTGACAATGTTTTCATAATTTTAGGTATAGCAGACACAGATGAAAATTGTAAACGTTTCATTGACAAATGCATGCCAGAATGTTTCAACAAATTGTTAATGTCAAGTGCAGTACAAAGGTAAATATTGAAATAGAATAGTTTGTAAATTGAAATGGCATTCTCATTGTACCTGTTCTTAATTTAATAATTAATATATTTGCAAATTTGTCGCTTTTTTGAGAAAATAGCTTTTCACATATTTACAGTGGTTAGAGATCATACTTTTTGCTAGAATGCTATTACAAAACTTTCTGTGAGCTCATATTTCACTTCAAAATTTTATGTGATGACCTCTTTGAATTAATAAAAACTATTTGTAGCCGTTTTGTGACCTGCCTCGTACTACTTTCATGCTACGCAGAAAGGCGGAAATTTTTTGACTGTACCGTACAGTAGAGTAGGTGAGGTGAGGTAGACTACTGCTTCAATTTGGTCTTCGTGTCCATATATTTCAGCAGCGCTCTCTTGTTTTTGAAAAAATGTTATTAAATTTATGTGTTGTTCACTTAGATGGGCTCTGGATGTCCAAGAAGGAATTCATGAAATGCTTCTTCTATTCATTGATCTGATTGTTGCAACTCTGGAGAGAGCAAAACAACCCCCTGTTGATATGCTCAAGACATTAGCAATGGTAATATAGAACTTTTTGAAGAAATTCATGTTTTTTGTTAATCTGCATCATATGATCATGATAATAAAGTTACATTTTTGGGCAATAGTATAAGAAACTTACTCCAAATTTTCAATATTTGTTAAATAGTGTTCCAATCATCTTAATTCGATTATAGGACATATTTGATTTTGATCAAAGCTTAATCTTTTGGATAGGAATCATTTCCTCGAATCATATATGATTTTAACATACAGTGAATTTGATTTTAGTACCTTGGATCAGGTAACTCATAATCTTAAATTGCTAAGAAGACTGGTGAGTAAGCTACACTATGTAGGCATCCTATTAGGTTATTAAAAATCTCCGGGTCAAACCCCATATATATTCACCACAGCAACAAAACTATAAAAATTTGGGCAGGCTGTGCCAAGCAAGCAAGAAAGATCCCAGAATTGAATATAACTCACTACTCGTGTAGGTCTATAGACAACCTCATTCAGTGGGGCTGTTTGAAAAAATCATTACCTAGATTTAGATATCATGACTATTCTTGCTACAGCATCCTTGCAGTATATTCATACGGATCCACTAGCATAAAGGCATAGAGGAAGAATAGTCATAATCTCACACAACCCAACTCAAAGTTAGATATCATGAGTGTCATATTTTGACTTCTCATATTTTGCATTATTGCTTTTTTCATTAGGCGTTCGATTCAGAAACAGATTGGCATTTCAAAAATAGAAGTCGGTCATGGCCTCAACATTTATGGGAGACAAAGTTAGGAGGAGCTGATAAAGTATACGCTCGTCCTCCGTCTATTACAACCACATTTGCAAACGACCAATTTGGATGGATGGTTAATCTCATTAACACATTTTGTGATAAGGTTTGTTGACTTTGAATCATGCTATTTTGGATTTAAATTGAACATATTAATCCTTCTGTTTGTTACATTGTTCGTACGATATTGATCATGTTTTCAATGTTGTATATATAAAAAATTATCCTTTTCCACCACTGAACAGGCTATTTCTTTTTTGGCGCTCCAGAAGTGTCTGTACCAATATGGAGGTAACTAATTTTGTTCGCAACTTTACATCAAGTTGTGTAAAGGGACTTAATAAACCTTTGGGCATGGGATATGTTTACTTGGCTAACACAGTGAGTCCCTGAACTCGTTATAGAACTAAAATAAGGAAAATCGGAATAAAATTATGGCCTAACCTGAACCTGGTACACACACTACGGGAGTACTCTTTTTTATCATTGCATTTTCCAAAAATTTCCTTAAGTTCATTTTATCTTTTTATTTTAGCCAAAATTGTGCCATCATTTAAATTTTCATCAATTAATATTTTGCGTTATTTTGCTGTTGCTCAACAGTAGCATGTGTTTGTTAATGGTGGGGAATGTGATACTATCTTTGTGTCCATATGTGTTTGAGCATTGCTCTCTTGTGTGATAAGCGGATTCATTTTCCATTGTTTGTAATTCATTCCGCCATTTTGTTCCCTACTTTCTAAATAAAATTCTCCATCTTTATTTTTTCAAAAAGAAAAACCATAAAAAGAAATATAGAAAATATAGAAACAAATTAGCATTCATGTTTAAATATGAAAAAAGGCTATATTTATATTTTACCATTTTGATTACTCAATTGAAGTGAAATGTAATTGGGTTTACAACAAGCAATTACAATGACACACAACCTTCTTATCCATATTAGGGAGGATTGTCAAGACTTCAAAATATTGTTGAAACATGCGAACATCTTGATGCCGCACAGTTTGCTGCGGTTCTTCGTCCATTTGGTTTGTGTGCGGAATATTTCAACCCAAAAGCTGTTCAGGATAATATCAGTCCTATCATTGAAAGAGCTGGTAAATATGTCAGGGAATTGAAAGAGGAGGATTTTAAGCAAAAGGTTTGTGTTTTTACAAAATTGGTTCCTGGCAGATTCAGTTATATCAAACGAAACAAGCTTTCAATCACTGTCAAGCACAGTCCCATGCAACACATTCGAACACTCTATTTATATATTTGAGATGGGTATTATATTTCTTTTCCATCTGGTGTAGAATTGATGCATAACTGGGCTTGACCACAAATTGAGCTTGTTGAGATCACATACGCCATCTCGTTACTGGTATGGGTCTCGGGTTCAAATCTCTCGAGGGATAATTATGTGTGGGAGGATTGGTAGGCATGTTTGCCATTTCATAGCTTATTGTCTTGATTTTGGTTTTTTTCCTGGGAAGAAGATCATGTGTAGCAAGATTACTTAACACTTAGTCATCACAAAGTGCATTATGGACTGATTCATCAATTTTCCCAAACCCTATCAAAATGGTAACTAGGGAAGAAGTGATGCTTTGCCAGTTGATCAAGCCAAGTCGTCTCGCTGGTATTTTTTTCTTTCGGGATATATATATCAGGAATTCAATCTTATCCCAATATTACAAAGGGCTAGTCTGTTAGTTGCCTATTCAGAATAGCTTTCTAAAATATACTGCGATTAGGCGCTCCAGAAGTTTGTGTACCAATATGCAATGCAGGTAACTAATTTTGTTCTCATATTTTACATCAAGTTGTGTATAGAGACGGAAGCCTATGGGCAGGGGGTATATTCACTTGGCTAATACAGATAGTCCTCAAACTCGTAATAGAACTGAAATAAGGAAAATCGTAATAAAATTATGGCCTAGCCCTAACCATAACCTGGTACACAAACTACGGGTGTACCAGCAATTTTTTCCCTTTCTGTATTGCATTTTCCATATGTCGATGATTCAACTCTGTTAATCATTATGATAACTGGTTAAAATCTGTCTTATGTAACCTATGTATTTTATGGTAGATCAACGAAATACTTTTGAAAAACATTTGGGCAAATATTGTATTATATCTATTGTATTTCCAGAAATTGGGCAGTGTCAGTGAACTACTCACAATCATGAAACTCGTGTATCGTGAACTATGGAGTAAAGATGTCTCATCTGTGGATGAGTTGAGATTATCAGTAACTTTGAGAATGCTGAGGTCACCACATTTCAATGCTAAAATGAATGCTTTAAAAGAGGTAATATGATTTTATTAATGGAATATGACTAAAAATTTAGATTTTTTATAACCCACGTATATAGCATGAGAGACTATCACTGGATTTTTTTCATTGAGTTCTCGATCGTCAAAATTTAGCGCCAGAAAGGCTATGTTAGGGTGGGTTAAAAATACTGGCTCCACACATCTCCAATAAACCATGTGAAAGTGAATAAAAGCAGAAGCATCTAGAAATCACTCCTACCCTAAATTAACATTGTAATATTTTAAAGATTTTGTTTCAATTGTAAAAGAGACGGACAGTCTTGATAGAGATGGCCTAAACTCAATAATCAACTGTTTTGAATAAATTCTAAAATAAAATTTTAAATTGTTATAAATTGAATTATTAACTAAAATTATATTGAATATCTATTATATTTTAAATTGAATCAAGTTACAAGTCTTGATAGAGATGGCCTAAACTCAATAATCAACTGTTTTGAATAAATTCTAAAATAAAATTTTAAATTGTTATAAATTGAATTATTAACTAAAATTATATTGAATATCTATTATATTTTAAATTGAATCAAGTTACAAGTCTTGATAGAGATGGCCTAAACTCAATAATCAACTGTTTTGAATAAATTCTAAAATAATATTTTGAATTGTTATGAATTGAATTATTAACTAAAATTATATTGAATATCTATTATATTTTAAATTGAATCAAGTTCGCTATGGAGATATAGATTTCAATGAGTTTTGATTGAAAAATTTATTAAAATTTAATATAAACAGTGATTTGAATGATTTTTTGTTTTTCACATTTATCAGAAATTAATTGAGAGCATTTCAGCGAGACTTATTATATTGCTGAAAATTGTAATTTTTGTCATGACACTATTCTCAAATTTAAGAACTTAAAATTAAAAAAAAATAACAATATAAATTATTTGAATCAATTTGAATAATCAATTTGTATTAGACATCACACATCTTAACAACAACAATATAGGAAAACTATCCATAGGTCAACTCCGTATCAAACTAAAAATGAATAGATAATAACATTTATAATAGATAATAATAAATGGTGATTGCTGAACAGTAACAGCAGTATACTTTTTGCAAATTTGAAACGTTGGCATGAAAGTCAGTTGTACTATAGCACTTTATCATTTGTTTGGTTAGCAAACTATTGTCTAACTTTACCATTGTCTTGTTTTTAAGCTCACAAAGTTGATAGACGACTCTCAGTCCTATTCTCTCAAAGTAAAGAAGAACGCAATGCAGTCTGATAAAATACTTGACTGGCTTCTCACAAACAGCGTTCTAACAATTTCATTGGATAGTCACATTGACCAATCACAATACTGCGATAAAATTCGAACCATTGTTGAATTTATTGGTGACAATATGAGCATGGATGAATTGAGTCATATGTGGCAAGTGCAGGTGAAAATAAATTTGTTACAAAACACATGATTTATATATCACACACAGGGTAGGATTTTCATATTTTACCCCTGGAATATTAAAGCCTATTACAGTGCTGATGAATAAAATGATGGACCCCAGCCCCTCATCCAGTCAAATGTGGGCCATTAGGATACCAATATTGGAGAAAAACTTCACTGACAACTGGCTACCATTCGGAATTATTCTAAAATCAGCCGAAAAGGTATTCGAATACTTTGATATTCGAATACATTCGAATATTCGATTCCTTTTGGACAACCCTGCTGACAACTACTGTCTGATGGCCAGGAGGATTCCAGCAATCAATCCCTTCACATCAGTGGTTCTCAACCTTTTACTGACAGCGTACCACTTTAGTGTTTTTAACTCTGGCCGCGTACCACCGACAAAACCGCTTTTGTGGCAGGGAACAATGGCACGAGAAATGCGCTATGGTCGTATTTTATGTGGCACTGCATACATTTTTAGATCTTTGTGCAAAGTTTCAACGTATTAATTATATCCAGTAACAACGTATTAATTGCGTGTAAAATCACGAGAGAATTTGCGTCGTCTACCGTCAGAGCTGGAAGGCTTTATTTATCGCTACCACTGAATTATTGCAAAACTCTCTGTCGACCACTCCCTCCAATCCAAATTATCAATGCAGATGCATTGTTAAACGGGCGAAAATATGTCCGTCTCGTTTCCTTTTAGGTGGGAAGTAGCGAGTGAGGACGCTCTATGAAAAAAGTACTGGTAACTCTATCAGCGAAATCATTCAGTAATGGAAGGTAAAGAGACAGCACGCACTTCTGCCATATTTTAGCCACCTCAAAAGTCGGTTGTTGCAATAATTCAAAGCTTCTCGCGTACCACTTGAAATGCCCCCACGTACCACTAGTGAGTACCACAGGTTGAGAACCACTGCCTTACATACACCGAAATTATCTCTATTGAGATTCATGTGACTTTGTGCAGCTCTTCACCCTCTTCATGCTAATTTTTCTATTTTCAATAATTGTATATTTATTTTGTACTAACATCATGGATAAGTACTAGGATCATTCTGGTTTCTATTTCAGAACAATCAATCTCTCTCTGTGTCTGAAAATGTTCAGTCGATATTATCTGCAGCTGCTGTTCGATTCAATGATTCTCAGCTCGATCAATTGTTTCAATTAATTCACCATTCTTGGCTTCGCGAAGATGAAAAACGTCGACAACAACTTGTATCGTTTATTGGTAGAATCGGCCATAATTCAAAGTCAAGCAAAACTATGGAAAAGGTTGGTGTTTGTAAAATGATACGATGAAAACTTGTCTAAATGAGTGTCTATGGTTCAAACTTTTAAATATTCTGATGGAATAGTTTGGTTTAGATAGTTGTGTTATTTGCAAATAGTATTTAATAATAAATTTTCAAAAATTTAATTTGAGACTATTGCTTATTTTATGTGGTTTTATGTGTTTCCAGGAAGCCAATTTCAATTTAATGTAGTTTGTGTGTTCAAGAACTCATAAATGTCAAATATTTTATGAAATTGGGATTATCATGAGAAGGAGGGATAGGATTTTCGTATTTATCATGTGAAAACAAAAGCTAACGAGATAGCTTAGTTATATTGCTGGTTGCTATGTATTGTATAGTTTCGGTACTCCCGTAGTATGTGCACCAAGAGGATGGACACTGGAACGTAGTATGTGTACCAGGTTAGGCCATAATTTCAGGTACAAATACTACAGAAGTCATTTGGCTAGTCCCCAAACTCGTAATAGAACTAAATAAGGAAAATTGAAATAAAATTATGGCCTGACCCTAACCCGGTACACACAGTACGTTCTGGTGTCCGCCATCTTGGTAGTAGTTTCTTGTTCCGGTTGGACTTATATCGTCCTTTTGCATTTGAATCTGTCTCAAGTTTCCAGACATTTCTGCTTGAATATTCTGCGTTTCAGTAATCCAATTCAGTCTTTTAATATTTTTGATATTCTTTTTCTTAGGTCCTCGATCTACTTTGGGACCTTTCACATCTTCCTAAACTTTCTTCTCACCTGGTTCAACAATCAATGAGAGAACATCACGCTATATTAAATGATTCTCATCATGTTCGTGATTCCATGAAGAAGACTTTTATTGTTCGATGCATTGATGATATTAAAAAGGTTGGTGTGCCATGCCTTTAATTTGATAACTTCATGCATGCTTCACAAATTTGTTTCAGAATTGTTCATTTCTCTGTTATTAAAAATATGTTTTCTGTGTGGTTCGACATTTTTCTAAGTGTTGCGAATACTTGTTATCATAATGCATCAAAGGCATCAAAAGTGAGATTTTTAATGTAATTGTTGAGGTACAGAGTAACCACTTAAAAACAATTTCTCTAATTTCAATTTTTCTATATTTCAGGACACTTGGGTCGTTCCAGCACTAAAACAGATGTATGATATTGCCAACACTTGTGGTAAACCGTACAGTAGCAAATCAGATCGTGGAGTTTTATTTGATGTTAACAGACAACATGATCTTCTCAAACTTGTTGTTTCAAGTTTAACTCGATGCCATAAAGTTGCTGCTGTATCCGCAGTCGTACAAACTACCGATTTATGTGGTGAACTCGTCGTAGATGGAAAATTTAAACATTCTGAAGTAAGTTTTATATTTGAGTATGTACAAAACTAATCGAGTTTAATCAACCCTGAATTAGGTATATTCTATATCTCAAATTTTTAGTTTCAGGGGACGATACAAGTGAATTTTTTTTATTAAAATGAAAGTAAATTTAAAGATGAAAAAGTTTAGGACGCTGTATAGCAGCGATATTTAAAACTATCCATCCTTGATCATGTAGTCGAAGGGAACTTATAAATGAGCATTGTCATCTCCACATTGAAAAATCTGGTTTAGAAACGGTCACTTTCTTGCTTGGAATAGCTTGGTCATACCATGACACTCTGGGTCTGGAAATGACTGCAAGATCTGTAATTTTTATTTGCGAGGCCAACAAATAACCACCATTACAAGAGTATGTGTTATTTTTGATAAATCTATGGATTCTCCCCTTATACACTAAAACCTAGAAAGCAAAATCAATTGCAATATTGTCGACGCTAGAAAAAGTACATATATATTCATGAAAATAGATATTCCTTATTATTGGTATGAATGTGTTGTTTATATTTCAGTTTATGTGGTGGCATTTACAGTTTTTGAGATTTCTACTGAAAGATGCAAATATATATTTACCATGGAATCGTGCTAAAGAAGTTTGGGATACACTGGTTACAAATAGGTAAAACTATTCTTTTGTTTTATCATCTTCATCATTAGTTCGATTATTATTGTTATGTCAGTTTATTCATACAATACTTTGACGCATTTTGTCATTCTCTTTTTTTATATTTTTTTTTTTGAAAATACAATTGCAATTCAAAATTCTAGTATCGAACAGTATTTATTCCACTATTTCTTCATCTAGTTCCCATTTCTTTATAATTTTTAAAATTTGTCTTTTTTTCATGTTTGCAACAACTTTTTTAAAGAGTGATTTTTATAGCTTAATTTATTATATCTTTGAATATGAGCCTTATGGCACACCTCAGCATTGGATAGAACTTGAACTCATAATTTCTCTCTCAATTTTAATACAACTTGTCAACCTACTTATTCGTCAATATCTTATTGTAGAGATTCTTGTCGAGAAGATAACGAAGCATGTTATGAGTGGTTCAGTCAAAGTCTCGATGATTTAGAGAATGATACTGTCAAGTTGATGTTCAGGTATGTGTTGATAGTCATCATAATCTCTTTTGCTCCACCAACAGGTTGTTTCAAAATTTCCCAAGTTAATTTATGTGGTGAATTTTAAGAAGGCAATGCTAAAATAGTTAGACACAAAGGTAAAATGACTGTTATGGTCACCAGAATGTTAGAATTTAACCAAATGTAATATAACCGAATGAAATTCCAAGCCCTTCATTAAGAAAAGTTATAGCCTTCTCGCTAATAATATCTTCCATCTTTCAGGCTGTAAAAGTTTGAAATCAATTAGTCTATAAGTTGTGGAAAAGTGTCAAGGTTTCTGGTAGTTTTTGACGATTTTTCACTGTTTTTGCACATGTTAGCAAGGTTTTTAGTGGATTATTTCAAGCCTTTGATGTTGTTTTTTCCACTATCAGAATTCGTTAAAAACAAGATAAAGTATATTGATACAAAATGTTGTATTTCAGGGAGAGGTTGTTAAAATTAGATCCAGCTCAAATGTGCCCTTCTGCTTATCACTGTCTCATGAAATTCATGGAATCAACCAATATTAATGAACAGAAAATGAAAAGATCTTCAGGAAATTTGGTAAGCCCCAATGAGGATATTCTTGATATATCGTGGGTCGATCTATTTTTTACTTTGGAACATTTATCATAAATAAACTACGAAAGAGAAATGAAAACATCCATTTTTGAGGAAATTTTTTTTAACCTAATCACCCCTGGTGTTCCTGGGTCATTTTGACACCCTTCTATAATTTTTTTAATATTTCACCAACCAAAAATGCCAAAGACATCATTAATGTGTCCCTAAAAAGCTTATTTTCGTCGCTTTCCACTAAAACGCGCCCACATTACGTAGCATAAATGCGTCCGACCATATGCCAGTAAGAAGAGAGAAATTTCAAAAAATTTCGAGAAAAAGTTTCTCACTTTTAACGCTGTGGTCGACAAGTGATTGATATGCGAGAGAAAGAGTTCTCTTTTAGAAGAGCTATACGTCACCTTCAAGCTAAAACAAGACTGGGATTTGTAAGTGAAGTGATATTCGTTTTATCGAAGAGCATTTGATCGCGTGCTTTCTGGTATCTTTGTTTGTTTATTATGAGCCGAAGAACGTTGCTCGCGCGTTCAAAATACTTCGTTTTCAACTAACAATAGATTATTCGGTTATTTTTAAGCTTTGAAATACTTATACAAATAAAATTGACCTTGTTGCAAAATAAAAATTATACATAAAAAAAATATGATGACATCACCGTAATTAAGAACACTCGGATCAAGCATGGGTAATTTAAACTCAAACATTTTGAGTTTTGAAATTGGTTTTGTTCACATGCAGACCACTATGAAATACTATTCACCCCCCAAAATACATTTAATTTAGCCATAATCCCAAATTATGACACAGATCAGCCATTTATGACCGGGCCGAAACCCTAGAGAAAAAAATTAAAAAAAAAAAACTGGTTCAGTTAAGAGTATTGTATGGTCCCAATGGTCATTTGAATTTATATGGCAGATTTGTATTGTCAAGTAAATGCAGTGTTTAATGTAACACCTCGTTCATTAAATGATTTCAAATATCTTTAGCATAATGAGAAAAAGTGACAAATGTGCATTTCCAAATACAAAAAAGTTGGCTAATGATAACTTTTATTTGCTCTTATGTTAACAATAATAACTTGATTTAAGAATATTTCAGAATTAAGTTTTTTTAATCAATTTTATTATTATTAATGTCCTATAAATTGGTCCTGAATCATTGTTACTTTTTTACGTTAAATATCCATTTTCAGTATGTTGACAAGCTTGATTTACTTGGTCTTGATTTTCTCTGGAGAGTTTGTCTTGAGTGTCCGTGCGAGGAAGTTGCAGAACTTGCTGTAGGAACACTTGTGAAATTCTCATATCTTTATGTCTCGTCAAATCTCAAACGAGATCAGAAATCTCTTCATACAAGATTTATAACAGAATGCTACAAGAGATTAAATGTGAGTTGATTTGTTTTGGTGATTCAGATTGAATTAGAAATAATTTTGTTGACGATTGGTTTGTTGAGTGGGTTTTTATATCAAACCAAACAAATTTCTTAAAGGCTATCATAATTGACCTAATGTGGAATATTGAACACTAACCATATCTAAGGGTCATTTTAATAAATTGTTGTTGTTCATGTTCTTGTTGTTGTTGAAACAAAAAATTTTTTAGGTAACTGTTTGACCAATTTATTCTCACATTTTTCAATAGCTAAAGATAGAAATGTATTTTCAAATTCATTGGATAAGGATTGTGTTAATAAATTGTTTTTGTTGTTCCTGCTCTTCTTGTTGTTTCAACAATTTTTTTTAGGTAACTATTTGACAAGTCGCTTTCAAATTTCCAGTAGCTAAAGATAGAAATGTAAATTTATATTTGTTTTTAAATTTTGTTCAAAGCACAGCCATAGATAACAGTCGATCATAGATTTACAGAATCTTAAATGATCATTCATTTATATGCTAATATTTCCTTAGCGGGACTCCTGTTTATGTAATAGGCTTTCGAAAGTGTATTTCACATTGTATATTCATTTGTGAATGTTTTTCAAATTTTAGCTTCTTGATCATTTTGGAAGAACAATCTTGTTTTAAACCTGTAATATAGCACACATAATAAATTAATGTTTATTGATATAATAGTAGTCATTTTCTGCTATATTTCCAATATATTTCCATTTTTACAGCAAATGAAGTGTTCTGAATGTGATCAATTTATTAACAAAAAAGTAAATATGAAGTTCTAACTTTGCTCCTTAAAATCTTGCTAAAGTTAACAACATAAATTATCATATTTATCAATCTATTGTTTTGTTCGATCATTTTCTCAGCAAATAAATATTGGATCTGAGAGCTCAGCAATTGCTCACGCTGTGACAAGAGTAACAAAAACATTGGCAGCGAATATTCTTCCAGATGTAAATGTTGCAGTGAGTCCTTCCAGGTAAAATGTTCCCAATATTGATACTTTTTTATCAAGAATGATTATGTTAATAGATCAATTGAAATTCCTGAAAACAAAAGTTTTGTTGTTTTGAGGAATATTTCAACTCGGGAGGATTCCCTCCTCTTCTCCCATGCGAGTAATTTAATGTTCTTGGGAGGAAATATCACCCTGTATTTGGTGTAGTTTTACATATATTGTTCAGTATTTAGTATTATCGTAATACATTTTTGGGCTATTCCAAGTGACTTTACGGGACAATTCCAGAAATTTTGCATATTACATTGCCAGCTACTTGTTTTGTATCATTTTCCATCCAGTTGTTTTATGGGGTTCGAACAAAACTGCATGAAAGTTACACACAAGACTTAGTGGATATAAAATATATGGTAAAATATAGCGTGGTACTAATATTAATATATTTCATATTCTGTATTTGAAAATATTGGTTAAGAAGTTCAGTTTTTGCCATTCTCAATACACAAGTACTTTTCTGCCGTCACGTCTATACTTTTGACATTCTACCTTTTCAGTTCTAACAAACTGTTGATGACTGAGAGGATTCTTTTACTTGCTGAACGATACATAATTGAAGTGGAGAAGTCGTATGCTGACCCCAGATCTCTACTGCCACACGGTGCTTCATTTTGGGGTTCTCCATTGAAAATAGACATTATTTGTGAATCACAGAAGTTTTCCTTTACTATATTGGTAAGAGCAATCAATATCTGACATTTATTAATCAATATATAAACTGTTTGATCGGGCTAGTTTTTTTAAACATAATACACAGTTTAGTGCTGTTTATCAAATTCTAATTTTGGTGAATCACCTACAGTTATGTTTTTGGAACTTGCATGCAACAAGGGGTTTATTCAAAGAGCACAGTTGTCAGCACGAGGGTACTAGGCTTGACCCACATCTCCTGTTTATCCCTGACCCTTACATTGATGTGATAATCACACAGTCTGTTCCTATAAATGCTGCCTTTAAATAAAACTTGATTTTGTAATCTAACAGAAAACTACGATATGTAACGAAAAGTTAACGACATAGAAAAGTAAAATGAATTTATTTATCTATTTATAAAGCCTTTAAAATAAGAATCAATTAAACCTTTATGATAAATACAGTATGTAAATCCTATATTAGTTATGTTTAACACTATTCTGTTAATTTGGGGTGCACTTAAGCAAATCGTCGCACTGCACTAGTGTGTTGTGGCGCCCCCTTTGAAAACTGCTGCTCTAATTGCTAGGCAATTGTAGCACCTAATTGAAACAAGTAAATGTGGGCTGGGTGGTAATAACATGGCTAGCCTGTCATTAGCAATGCCATTTTACATCCTTATTCTCATTTCAGACTCACAGCAATGACACTGTTTCAAATGTACGAGCTAGAGTAGCTTTACAACTAAACACAACAGTGGAACAAGTTCAACTTATGGTTCGAGATAAAGTTCTTCAACATAATCAAGATCAGAGATTACTAAGGATCATTCCTTTCTATCCTCATCAGGTGATTACTTTCTATTTTTGATTTTCATCCTTGTCTGGACCTTCTGGACAGATTGCAAGACTTTGCTAGTAAGTAAATAATGGGTTTAGAGTTCTGAATGCTATTGTAATGTAGGTATAGATTCTACGATAATGGGTACATATATATAAATATATATGAAATCACGAGATTTTTTAATTAACATTATATAAAAACCGACATCCATTGTTTTTATTTGTATTTCCTATACAAAAATCAAGTGACAACTATCATAATTGTGATTGTGACATCACACAATCTTGAATAGTGGTGTGATCTTCACCTTACCTCAGGACTCAGGTCATTGAACCTTTCTTCTCCCACACATTTTAAATTTGTTTTAAGGGTAGGGTTTAAAATCATTTTTCAAAATTCAAATTAGGTCTTATTTTCAGGCCAGGTCTTATTTTCGAGGAAACACGGTAGTTTTGCGATGATTAGCCATTAGCTGTGTTCTGTGGTTTGTCATAAAAAGTTAAATGGGGAGCCATAAGCTGTGGTAATAAATAGTGGGTCCCAACTCTAAAAAGTTTGGGAACTACTGTAATAGACTATAGCATAAGTTACTAGCTAGAGGGTAGACCATTTTTCTGTATCATACATAGTAATTTTTTGTAGCTTGAGACATTTTTTTATCCTCTCAAGACTCCTACAAAACCTGTTGGACCTGCTAGCTGTTCTAACTTGGCAATTAGAAATTTCAGATCCCCATCTTTGATAATTCCTGGCTATGCCCCTGTAGACCAGTACTCATGGTGCAAGACAAAAATACCATTTTCGATTTTAATTTCCTCATATATCTATTTTGACGTTGCACGTTTCACTTATCAGGAGGTTACTGCAAAGACAACGGTATCTCCTGCAACTATAACATCAGAAGAAGATATGAACACTCCTCAGAGCAAAACATCTGTTCTTGTAGAAAAGGTAATGAATGTTTTTGCGACAATCAACACGACTCGAATAATTAGCAAATCTGTTCAAATTTACTAATCAATCACAAATTCCTGTTGATATAATTGGCTTTCGAAAGTATATTTTACATTGTATATTTGTTTGTGTATGTTTTTTTAAATTTTAGCTTCTTGATCATTTTGGAAGAACATTCTTGTTTTAAACCTGTAATATAAGCACATTTAAACATTGTTTATTGATATTTTTGATATATTGTTCATTTTAAACTATTGATGATATTACTTGTTATGGCTGATGAACAAATATCGACACACACCAAATCGAAATACCTATCCATAGAAGTTTAATATCTTGGTTTGGTAGTCTTATTTTGATCACATTTACCAGACTTGGAGGCTTCGTTTTTATATGTTCACATCTGCAACAGTTCGTTTGTTTTACATCAAATACCAAATCAGCTCTAGACTTTATGATGTCAAATCTATCATCATGTGAATATTGCTAATAACGAAGTCTTATTGAAAAATGCGCAAATTTCATTTCAGGAGCAAAAACTACCCTCAGTTGTTATGGCAAACAAAGGTCAAGATACGTTTGAGGTTTTGTATCAATTGACTGAATTGAACGAGCAAAAAATAACACAGCGAGCTCGATCTCTCATCTTACTCATTCCAAGCGATCCTCAAGTCATGAAATCACTCAAGCATATCGCCATTGAGGACACAATCGAAGAAGGTTGTTATTAAGTTAATTTTCATACGAAAGTTGTAAGATTATAAGATTTAATATGCAGTGATTTACAAATAATCTGACTAAATACAAACGTACCTCCGTCAAATCATTAAATCCCTATTTCTCTTCTCTCACATTTGAATATTTTTTTGGCGCTCCAGAATTATGTGTACCAATATGGAGGTAACTAATTTTTTTCGCCTACTTCACATCAAGTTGTGTAAAGGGACTGAAACCTATGGGCAGGAGGTATATTAACTTGGCTAAAACAGACAGTCCCCGAACTCGTAATAGAACTAAAATAAGGAAAATCGGAATAAAATTATGGCCTAATCCTAACCTGGTATATATACTACAGGAGTATCTCTGAACTCTTAGACTCTGAACTCTTAGCTATTCAATAAACGACTCCGTAATCACAAAAATTCCGGCTCAACATTTATTATCACAGTTAGGGCTGTCCAAAATCGAATAATTTTTGATGGCCTAATCCTAACCTGGTACATATACTACGGGAGTACCAAATAAAAACCCTCGATTCCAGTTAATTCAAAATGACTGTTAGTAATTCGTAATATCACTAACACTTCAAGTAAATCTCACACACATAGAATTTGGTATTTTAATCAATTTTAATTATGTGACTTACTATCTAGTTGGATTTGAAAATGGGCAGACTGGTATTTTGGCCATCAGAAGTAGATTGTGCTAAAATGCTGGTAAGCGTGTACCAAAATTTGAGTAAATATTGCTTGATTTTTAAATACTACCTCTGGAAGCTTTTTCAACCTTTCCTGTTGTATATCGTTGTGATTGTTTGAAACTGATATAGCCAAGACTTTCTGGTTGTAATAGGGTTGTATATTGCTATAATTTGAGCTGTTTTATACATTTATATTCACAAATAATAGGATCTCAGTTTATTAAATAGAAATAATAACTAACTTTTTTAACCTTTTCAAATTTGTGACTCTCTTGTTTCTAGATATCGAATTTTCACCTTCCAAGAACAATTTGAGCGACTCACCAGTTGCTATGACGACAAGTCCAGAAAGACCCACGGGACTGCTGATCGACAACTCTCCAAAACGACAAAGGTAAAACGATATTCCATTTTATTTTTGTTTATTACAGTTATCAAATATTTTATTTGTACAAGCAACATGATTAAAATATGTTTATATCTCAAATATAATTTGCAATATTCTCAAAATTGTAAATTCCAAATTGTTCGCTATTTCTTTACTCTACTATTCTAAAGAAACTATAACATATGGCAAATTTCACTATTTAGAAACGTAGCTCAAACTTTCAATTCAGCTACATAGTTATTTGTAAATTTCACTTTGATGAATCAAGATACACGTCTTTCTTAATGAGCAATAAGATAAGTTAAAATTGTTGATGCCATTGATACTAATGTTGCAATCCTTGCCCCAAAAGGTTCGGTGTGATAGTTTTCACTTTTAACAATGAACACCACATAATTGAGTATTGCTGCAAAAGAATAAGTTGAAATAGATTGGTGTTGTTTACACATATTATCAAAGAATACTGTTTAGTATTAGAATAGAAAACTTTTTTAATAGGTGCTGAGGTGAGCAATCGAAAAAACAGAAATCTAAATTTCAACCTGCTATAGCGCACGTCCAATAACATGCAGTTCCTGTTTTATTAATATCTTCTGTCAGATTCCAGTTTGTCAGGCATAACTTTAAAACGATACAAATGATAGAGCACATGAAATCTCCCAATGTATTATTAGTTTTTCTTCCACAACATAGTGAAAAGATTTCTAAGAATAGAAAACATTTATTCAGTGTTAGTCTTAAAGCTGTGAAATTCACATTAGACTCTGAGCTCTTAGCAATTCACTATATGACTCCGTAATCAGAAAATTCTGGCTCAAAGTAAAAACTGTAGAAATCAAATTTCTATGACAAAATCTTTTAATGGATGCATTTGAGAATGATTAGTCAACTTGATTCTTTATCAGTTCCTGTGTTACTCTCGACTCGGGTAATTTGGAAAATAACACTCTGACAGCTCTGATTCCAATGTCGATAAAATCATGCTAAACTCTGACTCCAGATTCCCTCTATAGCCCTAATTTGTCTCAACAATTGGACTAAATTTGAAAAAATTTCGTCTATATATAATTGAAGACAGTGTGAAAAGAGAATTTCTTTATTTACTTTACCTAATATGTGCATAACTGTGCCTAGTGTATGACTGGCTGCTCCAACTCCACAGCAATTTTTTGGAGATGTTCCTAGTATTCTTCCTACTGCTGGCATAGTTGATGATTTTTAATAGTTTTAAGCAAACGTAGGTATATATATATATATGTATCTTAAATTCTGGTTTTCTGAAATAGAAACCTGGTTTATTAGGGAAGTAAAATAGCGATTTAAAATGACATAAAAGTACCATTTCTCACCACTACCACTACCACTAATGCAATAATATGCTCTCTCGGTAGAGGCATAACAGAATGCCACATAATATACTAAACCAGCAAAATTTGGGGTAAAATAGGCGTCCCCGTGGTACTCACGAAAATTGGGAAAATCAATTTGTGTCCATTTATATAGCTTTTTCTATAAATTGTCAGAGTCAACAGTGTACACATATTTGAAATTTCATCAAATTGCCTGACTCCAATGACAAGACACTACTTCTTGCTGTCAAACTTCTTTAATCTTAAACAGTAACTACATATTTCAATTTCTAAATGTGGGCGTTCAAGCAATATTCCTTATTTTATTCTTAGTGACACATCATGACATCATTCAGATTCAGTTGGCTGGTATTGAATGCTTGATATAATGAAGTACGGTTGTGGTTGTGTTGTGGGGAATAACCATTTGTGATACAAGGAAATCAGATGATTGTTCATTGTGATTTTTTTTTCATGTTGTTATGAAGTCTTAGTCACAGGTTTCAATGTCAGTAACATTCTTGTTGGTTGGTAATTGATTTAAAATCAAACTCTTACTATTTATTCCGCATTGCCTACCTAATTTTTTACAACCCTGGGTGAGGTGGTGGTTATGGGATTTGAATTTTTGAACCCGTAATTTTACCTGTGAAACAAAAAACCCTGGGCAAAATATTCGAATATCGAATTAAATATTAGAATACCTGTGTTGCAATTTAGTGTTTGATTCTCAGCACCACATGACCTGCACAGTTCTGCCAGTAATATAAAAAACAATCTTCGACGTATGCTTTTGCGTAAGAATTAAAAAGAGATTGGGCAGAAATATGGCTACCAACATTTGATGTCTGCGGCTGAAACGATCGCAGTGACAAAAAACATAGATTATAACAAAAATAACCAGTAAAATTGTGTGTATTGTTACCGACTTTTCAGTCTTTGTTAATTTCCAAAGGGAATATTGTACTTCAGTGTTACTGTTATGGCTTCCTTCGTATATTAAAAACATTCCGTATTCGTTAAGAATACTCAAATTATCCGATTCGATTAAATGTCGTTTACCCAACCTATTTTAGTTTAACTCTTTCAACACTAGGCCACCACAACCGTGCAACCATAATAATCATACTCACTAGTCACTATATTTATTACTATCTATATTATGCAGGATTTGAGCTAATAGAGATACTATCACATGAAATCTTAAAAAAAACTTTCAACAGACAATCCCTTTCATATGACAAAAAATTCAAATGTCTTATTTCAAATAAGAAATCACATTTCTTTTGCTTGTTAGCATAAGCATGTCTAAGCAATAGTCTTCAAGCCTTTTGCTGTGTTTAGTATTTGGCTGAATTGCCACTACAGCAACAAGAAGAACATAATCTTGCGATGAAAGCTATAGGAATAATGAAGAATGATAGCCCCATTGAATAATAGATTGTATCACATCCTCCTTGTGTCCATGTGTAAAATAGATCCAGTATCACTGTAATAAAATATATAAATTTGAAATAAATAATCATCATGTAAAGAATATTATATACCGTATGTCACGTGAGAGTGACTGATTAAGGATATTGATATTCAATGGATCATATCAATCTCATGTTGTTTTTGAGCAATGTTCAAATTTTTGTTATGTGACACTTATTCATACTTTTTCTCTGAATAAGGCTCTGTGAAGACATTCACTGATATGTGAGGAGTTATTATTTTTGGAAAAACTGGAAATTTTCATGATTTGGCATTGTCTACCCAATTTATTACACCCTAGGTGAGGTGATGGACATGATTTGAATTCGAGATGTGTAATACCAGCATTGTGAAGTTTTTAATATGTTTACCACGAGGCCATTCCTCGCACCCAGTGGTTCTCAACCTTTTTTCCTTTCATGGCCCACTTACATTGCACAAAAATTCTGTGGCCTGTTAACTTTCTCATTCGAGGAAAAAACTAGAAAAACAAGCAATTCTTTTCGCAGAATCAAATACTTCCACTTTAATAAATAAAATGAGAGATACCACTCAGTTGTAAAAAACAGCATCATCCTTCACTCTAGCAATTTTTGATAGGTTTGTGGCCATGTGGCCCACCTGAAAATGTTCTGGTTGAGAACCAATGCGCTAGGCCATACTCACTGTACTGGAGCAGTAATCAGTAAACCATATATTATTTGTTTTGAACTACTGTACCTGTCAGAATTTCTGCTGCAATGCAATTACAGAACAAGTGAACTCCACAGCATTCCACGTCACATTCACAGAATTTATCTTTGATGCAATGTTTTAGTATCAGTGTGAATAGTATGATTAATTTCAGAATAGTGCCCACAGATCCTGTAACTGTTGGGGTTCTGAGAAACTCCTGTAACTCCATACTTTTCATTTGTACAATGGTTGTTCCCAGGTTCAATGTATTGTAGACTTCTGATCAGAAAACAAAAAGTTATTTTCATAAGTTCTCAGATAGTAATTACTCAATTTGATGTGGGTCAATTTATATATTCCTAAAATTTTTGTCTATATTTGAGCGCGAACAAACAGTTGCACATCGGCTTTGCTCGCCCTTCCCGTTTCACTTTGCGTCCTTATTATTATCCCAGGTGTTCTGTTCTCTCTTTTGAACAACTTTATTCATTTTTGTTACAATTTAATATGTTTCTTCAATTGTCAAAATCAATCAATAGTGTTATTGTTGTCACTTGCGAGAGAAATAAAAGAGGCAAAGAAACTGTATTTCATTACAACAATTAATTATTATCTTTAAAACATTTAATAGGTTTAAAGTTGTTATAAACATTTTCACCACTGAACGTATCTTTTCACGTTATGGGTTTCCTACAAGGCCCGATCATAATTTTCTCGCAAAGATCACAGCATTTACTATGACGAAACGCTCATTCGACTTTTCAGACGGCAGAAACTATCCAAAATAGATAACCGTTTTTGTGTTCAAGATATGAAATAATTGTCAATTCCACCACGCTTTCTTGAAGTAGTGCAATTTACCTATTTTAATGAAGGGTTTAGCAAGTTTCATTGCAGCAGTGTTTGAACTAGCGCGCGTTTCGCCAGATTACTGGCGCGATTGTCGATCGCAAGGGTGGGCAAAATAGAAAATTTCTATCAAATCGAATAATTCGAGTATTTTCACCGATTTGTCGACCTCTGGCATTTTTAATATATAAGCAACAGGCATCCATAACGCTGGATATTCTAATGCTGGTGAGCCACATTTCCGCTCGTTCTCTTTTTTTCACAAGCACCAATACTTACGCAACGCCAATCGTGGAAGTTTGGTTTGGTTTATATTGGTGGGTTAACTATGCTTTCATATCGGCGACATATAATAAAGACGGCTATTATGAAGTGAATTTCGGATTTTATTCTGATTTTTATCTTATGCGCCGACTCTGATCCTTCTTGTCACCGTTTGCAAATTAATAACTGTCCCAATGACACCGGGATGCGGATATTTATGAAGACGATAGTTGACCTTCTTATGATTTTACTTTTCTATTGTGCCTGTTCATTTTCGTATTAAAATATAAATGAAAACCCTGCAAAGTCATTGCGTGAATCCTGGATGTTATTTGGATTTCAAGTGATGATTTAATAACTCAGCAATAATGGCAATTCTATTAGTCAAATAATAATTCCTTGGTTAAATTTTGGAAAAACTTCGCACAATAATTTGTTACCTTGTTTGACATTTCTAATTTAACGAAACGGCGTTGGTGCGCTTTATGCAAAACTAAGAATTGGAACAATACCCAAATACGACTCCTTAAATTTGTCGTTTCTGTTTCTTAGCAAGATCTGTGAGGTAATTTTTGCGGAATTCAAGGGATCGGTTCAGTGACGCACAAGTTCCGTGTCCAAGCAAAGCGACCAAGGTACTCGATATATGGGTAGTAAAATGACATTCTAATACTCTAATAATACATCGAAAGCTTATTGTTACGTAACAATACACGACGCGGTGTTTTTTGGTTGGCGATCCAAGTTTGTCCCCCCAAAATTATGGAAAGTGTCCGCCCCTGCTTCAATGTATGAAATTGAATTAAATATCTCACTTGTTGCTACGAATATATTTAGTTTCAGTATCTATTGACATTTAGTGGTTTCTTTGATACCTCGCTCTGGGATGAGTCTCTTTTGAGTGAGCGTGACCATGCGTTAGTTAAATTCTTTTAAGAAGAAATTAAATGACATTAGTTTTATGTATTTAAAGAAGTTAACACTCTAAATTGCATATCAACTTACCTGTGAAGCTTAACGATATGGAGAAGATTTGCACGATTGAACATAATTTACAGCATATATTCATACCCATTTTCGTTCTAGTTTTTGAATTTTCTGAGGATAACAAATAGTACTAAAGTTAAACTAATCTTTAGATACCTCTGTGATTTTAATTTGTATTAGGGCTATAAATTGCATTATAACGTTTTACAGAATTGAAATAATAGATATTGTAAGGCGTGTATCTATATATAGTTGCTGTATCCTAAATTTGGTCATTGAATATTTTTTTCAATCATGGAGTTCATTCCAAATATTTTACAACATATATTTAACCCCATTTTCATTGAAGTTTATCAATTTATCAAATTCTTGGATACATTTGTGATTGAATCTGTATTAATATGTAAATTGAAATGTCATCAGCATTCATCAAGGTATTCGAATTTTTAAATTAAAAAATCTTTTTTAATCAATCTGTGCATAGTGCTGGTGTATGGTACGTTAATTACAATAATTCTGCGATTCCTCGAGAGTCGAGACAATTACTTAATGAATTTGTTTTATTTATGTTTCGTGGCCTCTGTATTATTAAGCTCCAAACCACTCTCATTTTGAGTCCTTATTTCTCACATTTTTAAAATAGTTTATATCTCTGTGACCTTAACATCCACCGATCTACTAAAGGAACAAAGCACCCCAATCTATTATAAAAGTCATAATTATCATATCGAAGACACCACATATGATATAAAGAAGGTAATTGTTCTGATGTTCATTATAATGTTTCACAGAATTGAAATAATAGATATTGTGTTACAGTATCTTTATACAATTGCTATATCTTAAGTTCGGTCATTGAAAATTTTTTTTTAATCATGGAGTTCATTCCAAATACAGTAACACTGCGCTATGGGCTAGGGCAGGGTTTCCTAAACTTTTTGTGTTATAGAGCCTGTGAAGAAGTTGACTTATTTACAGAACCCGCAATGCATTTATGAAATAAAACCAAAAAAGACATTGTTACATAGTATGCTTGCCGATTAGGTTCCAGAGTAAATTACAATTACCTTATTTAATAACTGGGATGTATTTGCTGCTTGCCAAATATTATTTATGCCATTATTGATTTGTTCGACAGTTACAAGTCAAGTTACAAGCCCTAATCAGTATTTTAAAAAGTAAACGAATAGCTCGTGGAGCCCCAAGGTTTCTCTCATGGAGTCCTGGGGCTCCGTATGTAACACTTCAAGAACCTATGGGTTCGGACAGTATTTTCCAACCTTTTTCGTTCTATTCCTCCCTTCGCCTATTCTGCAACCGTTACTTCTCCCTCAACATGCATACAAACGACTTTGTTTGTTTAATTCCTAACGAATCCTCAACTTGTATAATGCTTGAGTTGCACTCACGCTTTTGTACAATTTAGATAGTTTATGTGTGCATAAATATGCATCATAGTAGTAATAATAAATAATATTAGTAATTGCACTACAGCAAATACTAAGCAAAATTGCTCCCAAAGAATGACAAAATTTCTCCTGGTTGGGAAAATTTGGAAAGAAAAATACCATTTCTCAAGTACGCTACTAATGCAATGATATGCTCTACTTGGAGGCATAACGGAATGCTACATAATATACTAAACCAGCAAAATTTGGGATGAAATAGGCGTCCCCGTGGTACTCACGAATATTGGGAAAATCAATTTGTGTCCAATTATATCTTTTGCATTGTCAACAGTTAATACATGTTTGAAATTTCATCGAATTGCGTAACCTCTGACTACAACAACAAGACATGCGGCACTAACTTCTTGCAGTCAAACTTCTTTAAGTTTGAACACAACTACATATTTTTTGTTTTAAATGTAGGCAGAATTCTTATATTACTCTTAGTCACGTTCTCATCAGACTGCAATACATAGGTATACATAGGCGAGTCAAAGTAGATTCAGCTATGCGATAATTTATATATATTCGGATTCGGTTGGCTGGTATTGAATGCTTGATATATTAATGATGTACGGTTGTGGGGAATAACCATTTGTGATACAAGGATATCAGATGATTATTCATTGTGTTTTTTTTTTCATGTTATGAAGTCTTAGTCACAAGTTTCAATGTCAGTAACATTCTTGTGGGTTGGTAATTGATTTAAAATCAAACTCTTACTATTTATTCCGCATTGCCTACCTAATTTTTTACAACCCTGGGTGAGGTGGTAGTTATGGGGTTTGAATTTTTGAACCCGAAATTTTACCCTGCGAGAAAAAAATTTAACCAGGGCAAATTATTCGAATATCAAATTAAATATTAAAATATCTGTATTGCAATTTACTATTCGATTATCAGCACCACATGACCTGCACTGTTTTGCTTTGCATAGACACATAACTCATGTGCCGCTTTGTCAATTCTCGAATTCCGTGTGCATTCATTCACAGCTCTCCCTAACACACAGAAACGTCGAATCGCCTGTCATAACGTTTCATTCCTGATTTGCTGTGAAGCGCGCCAACACCCCTGTCTAAATTTAGAATTGTCAAACCAGATAATAAAAATTGCAGTATTTTTCAACTCAAAGCAACATTCGGGATTCCCGCAATGCCGACCTTGCAGAGTTGTGACGTTTAATTTACATAAGTTAAGGATGGTGGGTTAGAAGGATATTTCACTTCCTAATAGTTGTCTTTAACATCTGCCGCAGATGTAAACGCACAGTTCTGCCAGAAATATGAAAAACAAACTTCGACGTATGCTTTTGCGTAAAAAATAAAAAGAGATTGGGCAGAAATATGGCTACCAATGATTCGATTAAATGTTGTTTACCCAACCTATTTCAGTTAAACTCTTTCAACACTAGGCCACCACAACGATGCACCCATGATAATCATACTCACTAGTCACTATATTTATTACTATCTAAATTATGCAGGATTTGAGCTAATAGAGATACTATCACATGAAATCTTAAAAATTCTTTCAACAGACAATGACTTTCATATGACAAATAATTCAAATGTCTTATTTCAAATAAGAAATTACATTTCTTTTGCTTGTTGGCATAAGCATGCCTAAGCAATAGTCTTCAAGCCTTTTGCTGTGTTTGGTATTTTGCGGAATTGCCACTACAGCAACAAGAAGAACATAATCTTGCGATGAAAGCTATAGGAATAACAAAGAATGATATCCCCATTGAATAATAGATTGTATCACATCCTCCTTGTGTCAATGTATAAATTACATCCAGTATCACTGTAATAAAATATATAGATTTGAATTAAATAATTATCATGTAAAGAATATTATATACCGTATGTCACATGAGAGTGACTGACAAGGATATTGATATTCAATGGATCATATCAATCTCATGTTGTTTTTGAACAATGTTCAAATTTTTGTTATGTGACACTTATTCATACTTTTTCTCTGAATAAGGCTCTGTGAAGACATTCACTGATATGTGAGGAGTTATTATTTTTGGAAAAACTGGAAATTTACATGATTTGGCATTGTCTACCCAATTTATTACACCCTAGGTGAGGTGATGGACATGATTTGAATCCGAGATGTGTAATACCAGCATTGTGAAGTTTTTAATATGTTTACCGCAGGGCCATTCATCGCACCCACCCACTAGGCTAGTGGTTCTAAACCTTTTTTCCTTTCATGGCCCACTTACATTGCACAAAAATTCTGTGGCCTGTTAACTTTCTCATTCGAGGAAAAAACTAGAAAAACAAGCAAATCTTTTCGCAGAATCAAATACTTCCACTTTAATAAATAAAATGAGAGATACCACTCAGTGGTAAAAAACAGCATCATCCTTCACTCTAGCAATTTTTGATAGGTTTGTGGCCATGTGGCCGACCTGAAAATGTTCCTGCCCTCAGCAGTGGGCCATGGCCCACTGGTTGAGAACCGATGCGCTAGGCCAGTGATCACCAAAGTGTGGGTCGCGACACCACGTGGGGTCGCCTTAAATATTTCTGGGGTCGCCGAGTGCCCATCGTTGTCTTTTCTTTTATTATTTTTATTATGTGTGTGACTTCTCGGCTTAACGCTAGATATTTCAAACAAAAAAATGAATAACAAACACGCAGACAGGTAATATCAAGAGCAATTACGATCAATCAATTATGACATCATAATCACAAATTTAGTCCGTGTGAAAAACAGTGTTCTATGACCCAAATATACAACAGTGTGCAGTCTGCACTGTTAAGTTGAATAACGCTCAATAGGCTAGCAAGTTTCGATATTTCGAATTGGAGTGACTTCTTTTGTAATAAGGCTATTGCGTAACGACAGTAATTTATATTTTAAAGTAAATCGTTATTGTGTCGTTAAATGTACTGTACAGTGGCCGTTGCTTTTAGTGCAAAACCTCATTTTCCAGGCTACCGTCATATTGATAATTACAATTTATTAAATGGCTGAAAAACATAAAAGAAAAATATCGTATGATCAATCTTTTTGAAAGCTTTACTTTTAGTGCTTTGAGTCTGCTAAAATCAAAGCACCGAAATCGATCAAACGTAGAACACGATTTGCGCTTGAGCTTAAGCAACATTAAGCCACAAATGCAAGATCTCGTTGGAAGGAAGCAGTCGCATTCTTCCCACTGATTAAATATGGTTGTTGTTGGGTTCTTTTAATAAATTTCCTAATTTGATAAATATTTTTTTCGTGTCTGTAGGTGAACATATATATATAACTTGGGGTCGCGAGTGCTTATCATACATAATAATATTGTAGATGGGGTCGTGTCTCAAAAAGTTTGAAGACCACTGCGCTAGGCCATACTCACTGTACTGGAGCAGTAATCAGTAAACCATATATTATTTGTTTCAAACTATTGTACCTGTCAGAATTTCTGCTGCAATGCAATTACAGAACAAGTGAACTCCACAGCATTCCCTGTCACATACACAGAATTTATCTTTGATGCAATGTTTTAGTATCAGTGTGAATAGTATGATTAAATTCAGAGTAGTGCCCACAGATCCTTCAAACGTTGGGGTTCTGAGAAACTCCTGAAACTCCATACTTTTCATTTGTACAATGGTTGTTCCCAGGTTCAATGTATTGTAGACTTCTGATCAGAAAACAAAAAGTTATTTTCATAAGTTCTCAGATAGTAATTACTCAATTTGATGTGGGTCAATTTATATATTCCTAAAATTTTTGTCTATATTTGAGCGCGAACAAACAGTTGCACATCGGCTTTGCTCGCCCTTCCCGTTTCACTTTGCGTCCTTATTATCCCAGGTGTTCTGTTCTCTCTTTTGAACAACTTTATTCATTTTTGTTACAATTTAATATGTTTCTTCAATTGTCAAAATCAATCAATAGTGTTATTGTTGTCACTTGCGAGAGAAATAAAAGAGGCAAAGAAACTGTATTTCATTACAACAATTAATTATTATCTTTAAAACATTAAATAGGTTTAAAGTTGTTATAAACATTTTCACCACTGGACGTATCTTTTCACGTTATGGGTTTCCTGCAAGGCCCGATCATAATTTTCTTGCAAAGATCACAGCATTTACTATGACGCTTATTCGAATTTTCAGACGGCAGAAACTATTCAAAATAGATAACCGTTTTTGTGTTCAAGGTATGAAATAATTGTCAATTCCACCACGCTTTCGTGAAGTAGTTCAATTCACATATTTTAATGAAGGGTTTAGCAAGTTTCATTGCAGCAGTGTTTGAACTAGCACGCATTTCGCCAGATTACTGGCGCGATTGCCGATCGCAAGGGTGGGCAAAATAGAATATTTCTATCAAATCGAAAGATTCAAATATTTTCACAGAATTGTCGATGATAATACGCAAATACGACTCCTCAAATTTGTCGTTTCTGTTTCTTAGCAAGAGCCGTGAGGTAATTTTTGCAAAATTCAAGGGATCAGTTAGTGACGCGCAAGTTCCGTGTCCAAGCAAAGTGACCAAGGTACTCGATATATGGGTAGTAAAATGACATTCTAATACTCTAATAATACATCAAAAGCTTATTGTTACGTAACAATACATGACGCGGTGTTTTTTGGTTGGCGATCCAAGTTTGTCCCCCCAAAATTATGGAAAGTGTCCGCCCCTGCTTCATTGTATGAAATTGAATTAAATATCTCACTTGTTGCTACGAATATATTTAGTTTCAGTATCTATTGACATTTAGTGGTTTCTTTGATACCTCGCTCTGGGATGAGTCTCTTTTGAGTGAGCGTGACCATGCGTTAGTTAAATTCTTTCAAGAAGAAATTAAATGACATTAGTTTTATGTATTTAAAGAAGTTAACACTCTAAATTGCATATCAACTTACCTGTGAAGCTTAACGATATGGAGAAGATTTGCACGATTGAACATAATTTACAGCATATATTCATACCCATTTTCGTTCTAGTTTTTGAATTTTCTGAGGATAACAAATAGTACTAAAGTTAAACTAATCTTTAGATACCTCTGTGATTTTAAATTGTATTAGGGCTATAAATTGCATTATAACGTTTTACAGAATTGAAATAATAGATATTGTAAGGCGTGTATCTATATATAGTTGCTGTATCCTAAATTTGGTCATTGAATATTTTTTTCAATCATGGAGTTCATTCCAAATATTTTACAACATATATTTAACCCCATTTTCATTGAAGTTTATCAATTTATCAAATTCTTGGATACATTTGTTTATGCCATTATTGCTTCTTCCTACAGTTACAAGTCAAGTTACAAGCCCAAATCAGTATTTTAATAAGTAAACCAATAGCTCGTGGAGCCCCCAGGTTTCTCTCATGGTGCCCTGGGGCTCCGTATGGAGCACTTTAAGAACCTATGGGTTGGGACAGTGGTTCCCAACCTTTTTCGTTCTATTCCTTCCTTCGCCTATTCTGAAACTCTTTACTCCTCTCTCAATATGCATACAATACAATATGCGTACAATTTAGATAGTTTATGTGTGCATGAATAAGCATTATTGTAGTAATAATGAAGAATATTAGGAATTGCACTACATCGAATACTAAGCAAAATTGCTCCCAAAGAATGACAAAATTCGTCCTGGTTGGTATCGTTAGGCTAAGCTAGGGCATGGAATTATTAAATTTTGATGGGGGAACAAATGCACACTTTTTTTCCCTATGCAAATAATACCATAGTGTTTGCTACTGATAAGTGCAAGTGAATTGCTCAGCTTTTTCCTTAATCACTAATTTGATATAGATTTTGTCACCATCACATTCCATGCATCTGGAACAACTAAGTACCTATTCTTCTACCTATTCTGGGTTAGAATAAAATCAGGTTAGAATCAAAATCATCTTTGCCTACAGGAAACAAATGTAACTACGGGTTGGTCGCTAGAAAAACAGAAAATTTGTCAAAAAGTTTTTATTTTAATAAAGAATAACTTTTACAAAGTTTTTAAAGGCATATGTTTTTAAACTCATAGATGCTCAAAATGTCGTCCTGGCACTTCAGAGCAGTGTCTTAACATAGAAGTCCAATCTTGTGTAGCGTTTTGAAGGTTAACTTGTGATATATATTGTTCAAAGCTTTTCCCAAGCTCTTCTCAAATCATCATTTGTAAAAATAAATAGCTGTTTGACAAATTTTCTGTTTTTCTAGCGACCACCCTGTATATGGTTTGGTTCCACTGCAATGGGGAAACAATTATTTAAAAAAAGGCAATACCGACTACTTTGCTCTGTTTCTAGATATGAATGCCAAAAATGATGTTTTAATCCCAACTATCTCCATGCTAGGTCTCAGACATCTAATCCTGTAAGAATGACCAAATATTGAGAGTCACAAGACTTGTAAGAAAATTTCGGGGTAATGTGTACGGGATTCACCATGGGGTTCAAGTCTGGGATAATTAGTTTTATTCGCTGAACCATTTATGTCCATTGTAGCGGTAAAACTGTACGTGCTGTTGGTTGTTCATTGGTGGATGCGTTTCGGTTCACTTCACACTTTTTTCTCTCATTAACGGTGTTGTATTCAGTTGGCTCTTACTTTATTGTTTTGTTCTCGTAAGGTCTAAAACTTTCTCAATCGAAGCTAATTTTGTTGAATGACAATTTCAATATATATATTTCAACCAGGCGCGCAGCCAGGATTTTCAAAAGGGGGGTTTCATAATCATAAATTCCCATTGCGGTCTGTAACAGTCTTTGCATTACGCGCTCCTTAAAGGGACGTCTTTTCAGCGTATAATGATTATTCTTGTCGCATGAAATATTCAATCCCTGACAACTACAAATTTCTAAAATGTCTTTATATATTAATTTAATTGTGTCCAACGTAACTCGCGGTTGCTTCTTCTTACGTCAAAATTAAAACATTAGTTCTCTGAAATGCCACGGCGATCGGTGGACATAAAATATGAGATAAACGGTGTATTTAATTTTAATATGTATTTTTGGAATCTTGCCAACTCGTTATCGCCGTTAGAAAAATCTCAATAACTGATATAAAACGTCGTGGGTGCGTATACGTGCCCACCGCACGGAAAGGGTTGAAAGAGCCGACCTTTACAACGAAAAATGATTTTTCTGTTGTGCAAAGTAATCAATTCGTGACCGATAAGGGCATATTTAAAATATCTTGCCTTATTAATTTAATTGTCTTCAATTTAACCAGCGTTTGCGTCGACAAAACAAAACAATTTTTTACAATTCACAATTTTAAAATACCTCGGCATTGACTCCGTTCAATCGCAATGCTGACACTCCGATTATTTTTAAAGATAAAACCTCCTGAAAAATCCGTAAATCTGCTGTAAATTCTCATGGAGTAAAATTTATTTCAGTACAATAAAAATTGATGGATATACTGCGGATTAATTATCTTATATATCATCACAAACTGGGAAAAAATCGTGTTTTCAACCTTGTTTAATGATAACACGAAAATTTTCTACGACAATTTTAAAGTAATGGATAAAAGGCAAATCCTACCCACCATTAACCGTGTTTCGATTTTAGTGACGGTATGTTCCTCAACGGCGACCAAACATAATGTGCGCCGTAGGCACACAAAATTTTGCGATTTTGCGACTAGAAAAGCGTTTTTAGACTGTCGCGGGACTCAACAAAACTTATATTGTTTACGGTTTTATTTTCAGTATTTTATAATGTCGCTTTTTAATCAAATTTAAATCGCGGTTTTACTCCTTCTTTTGTCTTTAGAACCTCGCCACCGATGAACGTATAATAACTCACGAATTCACAATTCCGTGCAAAGGGCGTTTACGGCCTAAATAACACGCTGATGAAAACATGGGCGATTTTAGCAGAGGGCAATTGCACGCTTTTTCAGTTTTCACATTTCCGTGCGAGTACAAAAATAAAATAATTATCATTGTTCCCGCGGCACAAATTTGTGATTTAAAGAGAATAAACACCAATGTGAAGGGCGTTCACGGCATAAATAACACGCCGCGTTGATGAAAACGAACGGCGATTTTAGCAGAAGACAATTACACGTGTTATCGGCAACTTTTTCACTTTTCAGAAAATTCAAAAGGGGGGGGTTTCGACCCCGAATATATAAGTTGAATTTACTGCATTTTTTAGTATTCAAGCATTAATCTCTGCCCGATCTTCTTGCTTCTGTCAGAAAAAAACGTTAATTTTTGATGAAAATATGTACATCACTAGTTCTACACTATTTTCATACTTGAGAAATAGAATATAACAATTGAGTTTAAGGAAATTCACATCGCTAAGAGTTCTCTTAAGATACTCAGGAGTCAGGAGTTATCTTGTTATCTTTGTTTCTTCCTTTAATCTGTGTCTTAAATCAAAGAAGCGACTCTCAATGTCAGACGATAATTTTAGAGTTCATACCGGTAACACATTATTCTTTGTTCAATCTTCCTTGTATATTGAAGCCAGTTATTTTGATTGTGACAATTTTGCTGTACTATGGTATCAGTGATGCTATCATATTATAGTAAAAGATTTTACATATTATTATTATTAAAATTACAGATATTTCTTCGTGAGATGAATTTATATAATTTTTATCTATCTTCACTAATTGAACTGCATTACAGTGATGAATTTCGAATATTTAATTCAAATAAGTCATGAATAATTTTAAACCCTTAATTGTATATTAATATAAGAACATCTAATGCGAAATGGGCACATAGGGAACAACATATTAATGCAGGTAAATATATATTCAAGTTCTTAGTCACCTACTTTCTCATCAGACTGCAATACATAGTCGAGTGAAAAAAGAATCACCTAGGCGTTAACATATATACATTGATGCGGTTGACTGGTAGTGAATATTCATTTTATAAATATTTTCCATGACATTATGTAGTCTTTAGTCACATTACCATCGGTACCATTCTCATTGCTTTGTAATTGTAATTGCATTCTAAATTATTAAGGATCAAACTTTTACTCAATATATATATATATTAGAACCTCCACTAACAAAAGTCTCAGAATACGAAATTTCAAAGTTTCGAAACATCTTTTCTTAGAAGTGTTGCTTTAAATAACAAAAGATGCTTCCAAATACGAAAGGCTGAAAATCGAAATTTAAAAAACTCGCTTCTGGCAGTTTGAGCAGATGTGTGTTTTGAATTTAGTGTGTGTTCAATTTTGTATATTACGTTTTCTTCTGTCTGTTAAATGTTTGTCACCTCTTTCCATCTCCTCCGACCGGCGTCCTCCAACTCACCGAGATCTTTGCTTAGCCTAGCAAACAAACATACCATTCGTAGTTTCGTATTCCTCATTTCTATGTTCTTTCTTCTTTCCATGTGTACCTTTTCTATTTATTATGTAGTAATCTAATTTAAGATGTGTTTGTTACAAATTTTAACCATTATTTATAATTCATAAAAATATTTTGTCCCGAGTTATGTGGGGGCTTAGACCGTATTTGGGCATTTACAAGGAAAAAATGTGTTTCTACTTAGGAATTTTTCTGCTTATGAAATGGATTCAAAACAATTAATTCATTCAAAACAATTAATTCAGTTAAATTAAACAGGGTGGGTCAAAAACTGTTACCATTTTTACATTGCCAGAATATATTATTATGGAAATATAGTTCAATTACATATTATCCTAACCTAATATCAGACCTCCAGAATTCTCCATGGGTTGAAATCTATCAAGGTATCCTATCAGCACCCTTGAGAAGAAGTGTTCTTTTAAATTTTTCAGCTTGCCCACCTAGAATTTCTCAGTATCGGTTTTATGACATCATAACAGAGTTTATTTAGCCATAAAAGATTTGTCAGTTATATCCACTCTAACCATGGATATACATTTAAAAAGAAAGTCAGAAATTGAGAACCCATGACGAATATCTAACTTTGTGAAATTTTCATTCAATTTTCGGCAAGAAATTTATGACACAAAAAGTTTTCCTCAAATCGAAAAAGGTTGAAAATCGCAATAGACAATAGCAATAGACTTCGAGTATTCTA